AGGGGCAAGGGGACGTTGGATCCGAGACTGGTGCAGATTTATGAGGGTGAGAGGAGGATGGGGGATCGGAACAGTGTGTTGAGGGGGATAAAGCCTACGGTGGGTGGTTCTAAGGATGGTGCTTTTTGGGAGTGGAATGCTAATATTTTCTGGGGGGTAGGACTTTTCGCATATTCGCAAGCTGGCTGCGCAGTTCATGACTAGGAAGCCGACTGGTGGGAGTGGTGATATTCGGTCTAGCACCAACATCAGCAATAACCCTTCGCTTGCGCTCAATCAGAAACCGGCTAGGCGCCCGGATCCGATTATCCTCTTGTCTCCGTCGGCTTCTTCGTTGCTCAGGATGTCGAACGCGAAGGCTTTCCTCGAGGGAGGGAGGTATACGCCTCCTGACCATAGCACACCCCCAACGATGCTTGCTGTGTCACGTATCATCAAGGACATGGACCCCAACCGACCAATTAGGTTCATTCTTGTGGAGGGTCCGGAGAACTTCAGGCCGGAGTACTGGAACCGAGTGGTGGCTGTTTTTACCACGGGCCAGACCTGGCAGTTCAAGAGTTACAAGTGGACGAACCCCGTGGAGCTGTTCAAGCATGTACAGGGTGTGTATCTGGGGTGGAGAGGGGAGCAGCCTCCTGAGAGCGTGAGGGCGTTTGGGCATAAGGTGCTCGCGTGTTCGGTTGAAAAGTGGAGGGATCCGGGTCAGCCGGGGGCGGAGCAGAGCCGGTGGAGGGATCGGGAGGTGGTGGAGAGTATTTGGAAGGCGATTGAGACGAATATGAGGGCTAAGGGATGGAGGAAGGATGCGGCGCCTACTAGCATTTAGGGATGCTGAGGCCAGTGGTACTGTTTTGGGTGGAGGGTACAGAGCGAGCAAGTTTGGTGGTGGGTCAAGGGAAAATGGACGAGAGAAAAACGGAAGCAGATTGCAATTGCGTATATGTACAGATATCGCTTGCTCAAGACATAGTATGGCGTTCAGGAAGGGCATTCGGTTATCTTCTTTTTGTTGGGGGGAGTTTCTAGGACTGAAATGGGATGTTCTTCTAAGGGCTCATGAAAATGTGTAGCTATAGAGACAAGGGCCATGATAATTTTTGAGGAGTGGAATTGCATCTGATGCTTCTGTATTTAGGAGACATCAGACATCGGTTCGCAAGCCTGGTGTTTGATCAATCCCATACCAGAGTATTTGTCTTGCAACAGTGGACGCCGCGGCAATAGTACAACGTACGATTGTCTAACCTTTACGCCGTTATTCCAGGTCGAAAGTTCTTCGACGAGAGGGATGCCGTGAAAAGCTCGTGGCCGTGTACAGGGCGGTTTAATAACTTGGGCAAACTCGGAAAAAAGGAGCGGGTGTGACGTTGGACGAGGCCAATATCGCAGTTCGGGGTATCATGTTTGCAGAGTTCAGCCGCATTACGCGTGGCCTGATGTGATTTGCATGCTCCGGAAATGGGACGAAGGAGAAGATGGAGTGGAACGATAAAGTTAGTTCGATAGAAGTTCAGGACATATTGGAGTTCTCTGTGTTTGGCACGAGTAAGTTGTTGTTACTTGATTGTTTTACCTTATGAGAGAGGAGAGGAAAAGAAAATTGACAGAGGCGTGTGGTGTGCAGACATGCCGACTGTCAGGGGCAAGCATACCACAACCAGGAGGACGCTAAGCTGCAGGATGGGAATGGGTTTTTCAATGATAGGATTACCTCTTGGTCTTGTGAATATGCTCAGGAGGCAGGAGCGTAGAAATAGGATGTTCTCTTTGGTGGGTGATAGAGTTTGATAGCTTAGCTAAGGTATTGTTTTTTTGTATAAAAAAAAGGAATAAAAAAAAGAAACCAGTGAAACCGTGATGAATTCTAGCACAGGTACCTACCTGGAAACAAGAAACCAAAAGTGGTGATATAGTAACTGAGTCAAGAAGGATGTCTCAGAATAAATTGCTCTTGGGGATATCATGTCCAGTTTTGTGGCTGACATTCAACGGGTACACCCGCCAGGTGGGTGGTGTAATGGTCAGAGGCGTTTGCCTCAAAACCATGCTCAGAGAAACTACCAATTGCACCAAACGGTTCGGTTGGGTCAGGATCGATGGCACCTGCACCGGGACATTACGCTCCACTGGGTAGGATTCACGGGTTTGACTCCAGCAGGAGCAGAACTTAGTCTTTTAACATTTTTTTCTAAGCTAGGTAGGCAGCTTTCTTGCACCAATTGCCTGCTTTTACAAATTGTTTGGCCTACCTATCTACGTCATATTCACTCGCTTCAAGTCCCTTGGTGTGCTTGCTACGTACCTACATACTTATCTGTCGACTTTTTGAGAATCTACAGCTGGAATGAGAGTGGGCCAGATTTCAGTTTCGCCAAAATCAACTTATCGCAGCAAACGCTGAAAACAACGACTCCCTTTCGACACATCCATTTTGGAGTATCATATAAAACTTTTCAGGAGGCTTGTCTGACAGTTGAGAGGTGTGTTTTCTTACCACAACGTACCGCTATCGACCTCATGCAACAACTCGACTGGACCACTTTCAAGAACAACGTTGCTGTCAACGCAAATAGCAGTCACCACGAAAGCTCCAAAGAGGATGTTTTGTGGTAGCAAGTCTCCACGAAAAAGGAGCCATCAATTAGTGTGGATGACTATCTAGGTAGGTAGGTGAGGCACCTTAGTAGGGAGCAAAGCCCCATTAAGCTGAGGCATATGATAACCGAGCCCAGCCCAGCCATCCCTCGTGGCACCAGCGCTTCAGCAACCACCGACATCCACGGCGACATGCCACTTCTCATCAGTACGCTCTATCTGTCCCACAACCAAGTCGTCGTTTGGGTCGTCGATACCCCTGTCTACATCGAAGTTGCTAGCACAAATATTTCTTACTCCCTTTGACATGAGTAATGCCAGCCTGGAAAACATCAGAGTCGTCAAAAAACTCCCCAGGTAACTTAACTTTGTTGCACCGATTCACGATATAACTTGCGCCGGAGGCGATTTCCAGCCAGGAAACCTCTTTCTCGAACTTGTTCTGTAGGTTTCCTTAGGATCAGTAACAGCACACAGCATAGGACCAGAGGGATGATACATACGTTATTGCACAGTAGATGGCAGAATAGTATGAGCAGCTAACACGGCCACAGTTTTCGGGTCCTGGGCCATTCTTCGCTGTGCCACTAACCCCCAAAAGGTACCGGATCCCTTCACGGATGCGAGCGGTATCGGCGGAGAAAGGGGGGAAGTTGGGATTTGTGCAGTTGGCCGGGTCGAAGTTGATGCGCAAGGGCCTGGAATCGGCCTTTACGCCGAAGGGGGCAGAGTGGGCGGCATGATGGGCGGCAGACTGGGCCAGGAGGCCGGCGTTCCAGCCGGAGTAATCGTTCTCCATCTTGGCGACGGCCTGCTCGATGGTGCCGGTGAAGCTGACGGTAGCGCTGCTCTTATTAGCAGGGTTGATGGGGAGATTCCAGGTAACATCGGGAATGTTGTCCGGGAGAGTATAACCCTGGGCAATCTGTCTCGCATGTTAATAATGCTTCAAAGAAAGAGCTGAGATGTCATACCCCGAAGAAAGCCAGGGCGTTGGCCACGAGAGTGATGATGGAAATCATCTTGTGATAGTATGTTGATTGCCTCTGGGCTTGGTGAAGAGAGGGGAAGACTGGGATTCTGGTAGAGATGAGTTGTATAGAAGAAGAAAAAGGAGAACTCAGCGAGGGAGAAGGCGAGATATATATACTACTTACTGTAGCTCACAGGGTGGATATTGGAGCACATGAGCTGTTTGTATTCACTTGTTGGCAAACCGAAGAGGGTTGCTCTCAAATGGTAGGCAATGGCTCCCTGCTCCTGCTCACCTATAAGGGTCCGTTGGTTATCGGACGATGCGGTAAGAGCAGCAACACAGATGTGTTTGTTGAGCTCGGTATAGATGGGATGGTACCCGGGTAGGAGCATAAGGTCTGCCAAGAGTTAATCCGGATCGGGTGAGTTCGGTATAGGTGAGTTGGTATCCAAGTAGGAGCAGAGTGCTAAGAAAAGCCGGTGAATCTGGAGCAGTAAGATACCGCCCCTCTGTTCGACAACGGAATCATCTGCTACGGGCGTAGGGACAGAGAGCGACCACCTCTCAAGCATATGACAAAAGTTGAGATAAAATCGGGGACATGACAAAGTTTTAGCACCTTTGGTAATATCTTTCTCGAGAAAAGGCATCAACTTGTGTTAATATCTATCTAATGTGGAAGCACCCAGAGATCCCAGAATCACAGACGAGCTCAGCCAAAGCCATGCCTCATTGTACCAAGCCCTTAGCACCAATCTCCGCGAACGACGACATACCAGCCGTCGTCAAAATTAGCATGTCCCTTGACGGTCATATCTCCCTCTACAAAGGTTTTTTCAGCACAGATACGCCCACTGTCCTTAAGAGGAGTGATAGACTTGCGCTTGCTGCATTGGTCAACAACATACTGTGCGGCACCAGCGATCTGAGTCCACTGGAGCTCCTTGTAGAAATTGTTCTGCAGAGTTTCTGAGGTTAGGCAACCGAAAAGCACACGCGTACGAGAAAACATACGTTATTACACCAAATGATGGCAGAGTTCCACGAGCAGCTAACGCGGCCGCAGTTCTCAGGCCCTGGACCATTGCCGGCCGTGCCAGAAAGACGGGACAGATACATGACACCGATCCCAATCTGGGTCCTCTTAGCATTGCCGTCCCCGGGGACGTTACAGTCGTGTTTGATGGGAATGCCGGCCTTGTCACCGGCCGGACTGGAGATGGGGTCCTGGGCCATGAAGGTCTCGTTCCAGCCCGGATAGTCGTTTTCCATCTTGGCAACAGCTTGCTAGATAGTGCCGGTAATGGTTAAGGTAGCGCTGCTATCGTCGGCGGGATTGATGGGCAGGTTCCAGGTAACATTGTGGACATCTTCAGCGACGGAGACGTGGACAAGCTGTCTTTTGGTTAGTAATGTCTTACTAAATGCCTAAAGAACTGAAGAGGTATTACTCTGAAGAGAGCCAGAGCGCTGGTAGCGAAGGTGATGAGGGAAATCATCTTGTAAACCGTGAGGTGTCAGGTTGTCTGTGAAACTTTTATTGTTTTTGGTGAAAATGGGAACCTCAGTCCAGAACGTCGAAGATGCATACTGCTACCTGAAGCCCACCAAGGATCTGGCTGGAGCACCCGATGATGGCCTCTGCCCACTGCCAACTTTCTGGTAGGTATAGTATCCATTATCTGCCAGCTCTCGAAGAAAGTCTCCACCTAACGCCACATGTGTAGGGCTCGTGATCCCTTCTGTTCAAATGATGACGTGCAACTTGCTCGTTGAGGCTGATATCTTGTTGAATCAAAAAGCAGGAGCATGCTGAGTGGCGGAAACCTGTTTTGTGTTCTTGATAAGCAAACTCCACGGTATACAGGTAAGAGTCGGTGTGCCTCCTGCGGACTTTGACCAACATCTCAAAACACTAACCTCGTTCCCAAACCAAGGCTATCAAACTCTCGTCTGTGAGCTGTGTATCTTAGATACCTTGGTCATGATCTGCGGGAGGACATGGGTTGCCCCAAGGGCTCGTGTCGCAATATTCTGACTTATGGCGCTGAGTAATGTCTAATCGGGTCGTACTTGCCTTACCGGCAGTAACTTTGGGTGCTTCCACCTTCTTCCCAAGCGCCTTCCTTCCTGCCTTAGGTCTTGATAACAACTGTGAATTCACAAGGAAGGTACGAGACGGTTCTGGACTTCCTTCGCTTTGGTTTCAATACATGTTCAACAACATGGTTATCACTCCGCAAAGTCAGAGAAACCCAGTCCCATGAAGAACAATTTATTAGCTCTCCCCCAATATCTAGATGCTCTTCACAATACCTTAACACTCAGCAATGCTCTTTGCGGACGATGACTCCCCACTTATCATCGTGTTCGACATGCCGTCTGATCACGTTGACATTGACTAAAACCCACGTTAGTCGAATCCGCTTCTTACCCCAGCCAAAGTCGGTAACAACACAGAGAACTTACCGTCAAACCAGCATTTATAGGTGATATCACGGGCAGCATCGGCAATGTCATTCCACTCAAGCTCCTTCTCAACGTCATCCTACACCTCACATGTCAGAAACCAGCCAAACGAAACCCTTCCATAGGAACCCACCTTGTTGCACCAGATAATGGTGGAATTCCACGAGCAGCTCACACGGCCGCAGTTGTCGGGCCCAGCTCCGTCTTCGCCGTGCCAGGAACTTTACGGAGGTATTGAATCCCGTCCCTGATGGCGCCTCTGTTAGCCCAGCCTTCATGGTCAGGACGGCAGTTGAAGGTGCCATTTTGAAGAGGCTCCTCATCATCTCTATCTCCATCAGAGGGGTGAGGGTCCCTCGCCATGAAGGTAGCGTTCCACCCGGGATAGTCGGTATCCATTTTGGCAACGGCATTTTCGATGGTGCCGGTGATGGTTACGGTGGCGCTGTTGGGGTCGTTAAGGTTAATGGGGAGGGTCCAGGTGAAATCGGGGGTGGAGGCGTGGGCGACCTGATTGCCATGTTAGCATGTTTTTGATAGAATGAAGCGTACATACTCCAAGGAGCGCCAGGGCGCTGGCGGCGAGGGTGTTGAAGGAGAGCATCTCGTGATATAAAGGTTGCTGCTGAGGATCACGAGAAAGGGCTTGAGACATCACACGCCCGGATTATACATCTATGGATGGAGCCCACCATGGTTTTCGCAGTGATACTTGCCGCTTGCTCCTGATTGTCGGGGGATTTGAGGCTCTATACTGCTCTCAAGCGAAGATGGAACTTTACTCACGGCCGCCAGCCAAGGCTTCATCCAAATTGAAAGTCCAGAGACCGGGACCACACTGGAAACCAGCCCCAGAGCGGCGGAAACCTCCTTCTTTGTTTTGATAGAGCAACTTGTGTCTTGATCAGTATGTCTGTGGGGGTTGAGCCCCTCTTATTCACCGAGCTCTTTCTGGCACAATCACTTCTTAACAATCCCATCCCCAACACTCTACATTTTGTGGATCACCATTCCCGTCTCTCCAGCCGACGCATCATCAGCCAACCCCTTCAACGACCTTTTCTCACTCCTCTCCCATTCCATCATCCTTATATAAATCCCCTTTTCCTATTTTACTGTCACATACGACCATATCCAGCTGAGAACTCGGGATCCCGTCCGCTCTCCCCTAGATAAGCAGCTGAGAGCCAAACTAGTACTCAGGTGGGTGACCACTGGGGAATCCTCGGTGTTGTATGTTTTTGCCTACTTTTTGGACTCCACTTGACTCCATCACTGAGTCGTGGCATACACCCCCAAGCCTCAGCCAATCCAGCTTAGAAGGGAGATAGTGGATGGTTTGAGCCACTGCCATGGTGACTGCTACGTTTGGTTGGTGGTCAGAGAGTTATGTTTTGCCTGAAAGTTGGTCTAGGAAGGTGATTTAGCTGGGCTGGATGTAGGAGAGACTGAGACTTGATCCGAAACGAATGTGCATCAGGAGGCTCGTAGATGTCAAGGCTATGTTACTTTAACATATTGAGCTTGTATCTGCTGGTTGATTGCATTTGTAGATCTGCTTAGAACACATCATAGCTGGGAACAAATCCCTCCAGTTTCTCAGCTCTCACAGAGAGCTAAAGCAAACGTACGTCAGCCTTCAACATCCACTCACATCCTGATTTGACAACACTCCCAGCACCTCATGCCCTATCAACATCAAACCAAAAAGCATTATTCATGACATTATTCTTCGATAAATGACACCTCTCCTAGTGAGAAGGCAGGTTCCTACCGCCGTGCGGCGCGCTATGATGAGGCTCCCGATCCTTCCCACCACTCCGGCTGTACTTCTGTCCAATATCCTCCGGCAGCTGACCGCCCCCAGCACTGGTAACCTCCCCAAGATATGTGCTACCAAGAGCGTTATCCGAGATCCCCGAACCAAGACTGTCAGGCTTGTTCTCTCCAGCGTTGGATGGGACAACGTTGGGCTTTGCGGCGTCCTTTGGGACTGGAGAGTTTCCATGTTAGTAGTCATTGGTTTGAAACACGAAAGAGAGGGTGGTTAACAAACCCTTTGTGCCGGTGGCGGCCATATCGGAGAGGTTACCTCCCTGGGGATGAGGGTCAGATGGCATGATGGATTTGTTTGCTTAAGGTAGGTATCTGGTTGACGGTGATGTGGGCTTGGGAATGGGTTGTTGTTTGGTAGCAGAGCTGTTCGAATGCGTGGTGGTCAAATGGTGAAGTAGATGTTCGGTCATTGTTTATATGTGTGGCAGTTGATGATGTCACGTATGACCTGCCGAGAGGTGCCCCTTTACTCAGTGACATCACGATTGTCAAAGCCGTGCACCACCCAGTCATGAGAGTCGGTGATCAGCTCCCAAGTGATTCAATTGGCTCTTCTGTGTTGACCATATTTGAAAAGAAAAGGAAACTCGTTGCATCACTTCGTGGCATCATGTCGTGAAGAATAGGGGTTAGGGGTCAGCTAGGACTCAGGGGGAATGCAAGGGTTAGGGTGGACACATCTCTCTTTGCCTGACAACCAATGAATACCAGGTATGGCTCCTGTTCCCTCATGTATGTTGTGTGAGAGCAAATTATGAATATTTACCATTCTGACATGTGGTTTGAAGAGCCAATGACTTTGAATTGAGGCATCTATGGTCGCTGATCAGGAATCTGGATGCATGAACCCCCTGAAGCAGCTATCCCAACGCCAAAACGGTCAAATGGGAAGATATTTGAAGGTCTAGATCTTGATTTATACGTCTGTAAATCATCTGCACGCTCGTTCCTTGTAGCTGCTGACATGGTATGTGGTGTAGTGGTCTTGAAATCTTCTCAGCATCGACCTGAGGAATAATGTTAGCACGCCGCTGGCCTACATCAGCGCACCTGGCCATGCCGTATGCTTCATAAAATGTGCGTACTGAAGAAAAGTAATAAGTTCAAATGTGTGAAAGTATCTTGGAAGATATTGGCCACTGGTAATTCATGCCCCTCCGTTGTTCTGCTCATCAATCTTGCTGGAAGGCTGTCACATGTCTGAAGAAGCTTGCCTTACGCCCCTTCTTCCAAAGGAGAAATAACACAGCACCTTCCTTGATTGTTCAAGAAAGAGTGAATGAACCTCTAATTAGAGCACAGAACCACCGCCGCCACCAAGGCACCCAGCGCCAAAAACACACTCTGATGCTTCTCCTTCTTTTTCCGCCTCCTCCTCTCCTCCTCCTCCCGTTCCTCTTCCCACCTCCTCCTAGCTTCATACTCTGACCTTCCCCCATAGCCCCCCCTAGGATAAGACTTTTCATGAGGATGATGAACTGTGTACTCCTCTACACTCTCCACATCACCGTCATCATCATAGTAATTCCGCGCCCTTGTAACCGTGGTGTGTTGATGGTGGCGGGGGTGATGATCAGATGGTAATGGCCTCCGGAGGACAACAGCCTGGCTCTCATCGTAGGTGGGAGGAGGGGTGGCATCCGAACAGCAGCAGGTGGAAGGGCAGGTGGAGCATGATGATACAGAAGGGGAGGGTGAGCGCCGGCAAGGGCGGTCACGGCGTCTGTGTGATGATCGCCGGGGATGATGGTCGCGATAATCGCGATCATAATCGCGAGCATAATCCCGCTCCCGCTCCCGCTCGCGGTCATATCGCCGCCGTGGTCGGGAGGAGGAAGAGTCTGAGTAGGTTGATCCAGGCATCCTTCTGGTCGGTTTGTGTTGTAAAGTGATGACGGTCTCACAAGAAGAACTGATTCTGGGTAAATGTTGGATGGTTTTATGAGACGAGATGTATTTTTGGAGTTGTGAAAAGGGAAGGATCACAAGTTTTGGAAACGCGAAAGGATTCGCAACTGACAAATGTATATGGCAATGCCAACCGTTGACTGTGACTGGTTGGCTGGTTGGTTGGTAAATCCGAAGATCGCCACTCAAACTCACCGAGGTCGAGTGATTGAGCACCAAGTTCAAATAGGTGGTATTCAAGCAGGCAGATGAGAGAGCCTTAGAGCCTCAATTCTGCAATTGATAAAGTGCACAACTGCGCAAGCCCACCCTTTTCTCATTCACCGTGTTACTCACCTTCGACTTTCCTGGCTGACTGGCCTGTCTGTCACAGCCAAGAAGGTGAAACCAACACTTTGCGATGAGCGGGAGGCCCAGAGCCTCGCCGCGCAATCAATGGCTGCATGCCGCCCTCTTTCCTCGGGCGATGCGGCTCAGTTACTGTGCAGCAAGCAGCCATTCACCATAGGTCTCAACATACAAGACAAGGCAGGCAGCCACCATCTCTTTCACCGCCCACCACCTCAGACGAGAATGACACTTTGTTGCCTGACTGCCTCGTGAGGCCGCCATGCGAACAACCCTCACCTCCTCCAGTTCAAAAGTCGGAGAGCGATCTCTAGGGAAAAGACAACACCCCGGATAACAACAACGGGAATGCGGGCGGGGGGGGTGCGTACGCCTGTACGTTGAAAAAAGAATGAAGACGTATCTGAACCCCTGCTGGGTTGGGGGTCGTCAACGTCCTCCGGCAGTTGAGACGATCACCGTTAGGGAAATCACCACCGGTCTTCCAGGGGTGGTGGGAGGCCAAGCGGCTCACATGGATCATCAACACCACCACCACCACCACCACAATGTTGGCCAAACCCTGGCTATCTCAGCGGGTAACGGGCCTCAATCTGAACAAAAGAAGCGGGGCAGATGGTATCACAAGAACAAGGTCCCGGTTTTCGGGCCCTCACCGCATCTCTCAATGCTGCTGCTGTCCGCCCGCCCCGCCCGACCGCCATGCTGCCCTCCGGAGTGGGTTTGCGTTGCTGTGTGTACAATCGCCCAAACCGCCAAAAATCAAACCCAATTCTCTCTCTACTTTCTCACCAAAACCAATGAAAAAAAAATAAAAAAAAAAAAGAGGCGGTGTCAAAGCGGAGCATTAGGTTCATCTTTCATTTTTATTTTACCTCGCTTTGTATCGGGCACTTTTGGACTTTGGCATCGTCGTGTCTTGGCTTCAGACCATTAACTATCTAGTACCTAAGGTGTGCCTACCCCTCCATTCCCATCCCAACTCCGTCCCTCCCGCCCCCTCCCCGAATGGTACATGCCATGTGGTGGATTGGTGATGATGTGTGTGGTGAACAATAATGGTGGAGTATCACAACAGGTCGATATTATCATGTCATCCAACATGATCGCGACCTGACTTTTCCCCGCCCCGCCCCCCCCCCCACCCTCTCTCTCGCCGTGGGGGTTGGTTGGGTTCAGGTAACCCCACCATCTGCGCGATCGCAAGACGAAAAATATCGCGATGAGACAGAGACATTGCCAGGTGCCTAGGGTGACATTTTTTGTGTGAGCTCTCACGGCATGAGCTTCTGAGTTGAGTTTTGTCTTTCCGAGCCAGTGAGATCAGATCTATCCCTCATGCGGTGGGATATGTCTCGCACAGATATGCCCACGATATCCAGGAGGGAAGACATGTAGATAACCGAACCTACCTAACCTGTCCGGTCAAACTCACACCGACAGGGCACGTGGTAGATCTCGAGACAACAACTGCATACAAGACACACACATCCCCAAATGCTGTAGTAAGGAGATCCAGTTGAATCCGGTCACACCAAAAAAAACAAAAAACCACCACCGCCTTCCGGCACCCGCAACGGCGCGTATCGGCTACCTGCTGCATCAAACACAACCGGGGGGGGGGGGGGGGGGCACACACTCATGAGCCATAACTCTGCATGTCCTTTTTTTGAGCCTTTGGGGACCCCTACCCTACCCGGTGAAGGGGGGAGCCCGGCAATTGCAAGACCACGTTGCTATTTGTTGAAGACTGCGCCGCGAGGTCTGGCCATCTTTGTCGACCCCGGCCTTGCTGTGCCTCACTCGAGATGTCGTGGGACAAAAGGCTTACACCGTATCTGTCCGTGGGGGAAATGATGTAGACCTGCTGCATCTTCGTCCGAGAGATCAAAGACAACACAGAGGTGGTAATACTATCACACCCTAGATTGTGTACGTTGTGTGTGTGTGTGTGTGTGCTGGCGTGCCACTACACCAGATCTGGCTATTGTGAAGTCTGGCCAGACCTTTTGTTCAACTTCAGACTCAGAAGGGGGCTTCCCGTTGAGGTATAACCCATGATCCCATCCACCACTCGAACCATCTCTCTCGGTGCGGATTCCTGTCATGCTTTCTTTTTCCCTCGCCTACCCAACCATGACCGGTATATCCGGCCAAGGAACCGCCCCCCCCCCTTTACCTCACTGTCGGGACAACATCTCGGGACTCCCCTAGCCCCTCACAAGCTTGCAAGCTCGTCATTTTTTTTCAGCCTCAAATTTGCCTCCCTTGTGGAGTACGTACGGCGCAAAGCTCGGTTGTGAAAGGAGTTAAGCTAGCATCAATGCGTGTGCGGCTGACCAGGAGAAGTTTTCCAGAAAAGTCTGGGTCCTTGGTCGTTGAGAATGGAGTTCGGTTAGAGTTGTCGAAGTCTCAGCTCGTCCCATAACACTTTCCGGGTGAATTGGCCGAGATGGTGGGGTACGGAGGTCCCGGTCCTTTTGTTCTTTTCTTTTTCAGCCTTGGGGAGACGAAACTCATGATCTGATCTGGGGTCATCCATTTAGTAGGAAAAGAAAAAACACAACGTGTGTGATAAGCTTGGCGGGGATAGACTGGTTACGCTGGTTGGTGGATAGGGTTTGTTGGTCAGAATGGTCTGATGAGGGATAGAGACGGATTCCGACTGTCTCGGTTGTTCTGGACTCTTTGAACCTTGTTGTCTACGAGATATATTCGTGAACGGGTTGTACGCAGTATGTAGGTCTGATGCAGGTCTTCTCAAAGCAGCGAAGCCCGCATAATCGGACGAGGCGGCTGGGTATAATGGAACGGACCAATTGTTTGCGCATATGCTGTGTGTCCTCTCTTCTTGTTTATATTGAACGATATGTCAATGCCGATGGTTCCACCAGCCTGGAACAGATTTTGTCGCCGCCCGCGAGTGTGATGTTGTTACCAACAAGACAGACACAGGAGAATGCTGTATCTTGACTGGTCGGTTGGGCGATCGGGCTATGCGATTGGAACCTCATGGCTGGCCACGCGCCACTTGGCAGGGGATCTTCCCGGCTGTCTGCCATGTGGTTGGTGAGGGGGGGCCGGCCAGAAAGGAAAAGGGCTGGGAAGGGGCACAGTTGCGATGCCGCTTTACCCCTGCTTTTGCTGGAGGACGATGGGAGGAGAATGAGAAGAGTTCCTGATGTGAGCAGATGCTGTGTGGTTCTCGATTTGTCAACAACGTGAAGTTGGGCGGGAGTCTCCCAAGCCATGTTACCGCAAGGTCAATGTTGATGGCAGTGTAGCCTCGTCGTTGTCAATTGTTGCGGACCCCCCCTGGCCTGCACGTGGCATCCAGGTGCGGCTGGGGGGGTTTGTCGCGCGTGAAAGTTATCTGTTTTCTGCCGCCGTCGTCTCTTCCTCCTCTCCTCAGGTTGGTTGAGTGGCTCCACTCAGACGGCCAAGCTTGGAGGGTGAGCACAAAAACCACGTGGCGTGGTCCCGCACAAAGTACCAGTACATTGCACCGCTGTGCCCGCTGTTCTCGTCCAAGATTACAGGGAGCGAACGCCTTCTGAAGAAAAGAGAAAAAACCCCTCTTCGTGCGTGTGAAGACAACCCGTCTCCCCGGCCTTCCAGGTTGTGTTTCCACCGGGCATGGGGGAGCATTTCTCGCCGTCATCGACACCTAGGCTCAAAATGGTGTAATTCAAAAGCAAAGAGATCGCTTGTTGCATCGCATCATTTCGATTTCGAGAAGAAAAGGCTTCTTTTCCCATGGGGGTGACGATCTGCCAAGTGGTGCTGTTGCCGCCAGTAGATTAATTGACTAGATGGATGCGGGTGTTGGTGCTCACCTTCACTACGGTAGAGTCGCATCACTGCTATTGCCGTTGAAAGTCCGTAGCCGCTCCAATTGAAGACGCGACAGCGGTAAAGTGGTCGGGAACCGCATCCCGGAATGGGGATGGTGAGGGAAGCATGAACCTGCAGCATCAGCCCAGAGCTGGTTGATGAATCATGAAGCTGTGCATCAGTCCCTGAAGAGAGGGTTTTTTTCTTTTTTTCTTTTTGGGAGCTCCTGCTGGCTTGGGTAAAGATCGTCAGTTGCCTAGCGGTTTCGCACGCTGGACGCAATGGCTGCATCGCAAGCTTCGAAATCGGAGTCTTGAAAATGGCGGTATGAACTGTGAGAGCAAGGGTATCATGACCATTCAAAAGGCAGTCGTTCTCGCAGTCACACCGATTCTGCAGTTTTATACTGTGAATTCTCAGATTCTGTCATTTTTTTCTCGTCGACCTTTTCGTTGGAATTTGACGACTGTCCAGATACGATCAGCAGGATGCCGTGACCCCTGGCCGGTATTCCCCGCACAATCTGACGTACATACAACATGGCAACCTGCAAGGAGCTCCGAGGAGGGCAAAAAAAAAACGTGGAATTTTTCTCGTTTCTTTTTAGAAAACGGAGATCCGATGGCTGGGTGCACGATGTGATTGTGCCAGCAGCGAACGCCACCGTCTATCGACAACCCAACAACTTGTACCGAGATGATGGACCATGGAGCGATGGGGCCAACAAGACACCCCACGGAGTTGCTGATAACATTTCCCCTCACGTGGTGGTTCGGAGTGGAGGTTGAGCAACCGATCAACCGAGAGCCTCCACTGAGGGCTGTATCAGATCATGAGCGATTGCAGCGATGGCCCTGCCGTTTGAAGCTCCCCTCTCCCTTCACTATCTCGGAGCGTCCGAAATTTCCTCTTTTGCCAGTTATTCCACTCTCTCAAATTCGAAACTGACGATTACGTCACCTCAACTGCTTATCGCTGTTGACAGGTCGAGGTTCGGAGAGTTTGACAGCGGGGACCTGAATTGAGGCTGCGAAACAGTCGTTCGGCTTGGCTGTTGTATCTGTGAACAAAGAAACAGAAAGCTTCACCATTAACCCTAGACTTCTTCTTTCACACAAAATGTCATAATTATGCGGCTTATTGCGTCGGCATTCTCTCATCGTCCTAGATAGATATATACATACCTTAAGGTACCGTCTTAGCGAGGATACAACCCCAGAGTGGGTCGCAAGAGTTGGACATGCGAAACACAGTCGCCGTTCACTTTTCCATCGTCCACTAAGGACCTAAAGGAATAAGCCCTACCAGCGAGCCTGGCCGTTTCTCTCGCAAGTTATGCCGGAAAAGACGAGGTAATCGCCGAAACTACACGGAGCCCATGTGTGCTGCATCATCGCGGGAGAGCTTCGTCAATGTTTTTGAAACCTGCCACGGCGGAGCGAAGCTTTTGGAACAGAGCCCCTAGAAGCCCACATTCATGCGTTGCAAAAACCTTACGAGAGATACGACTGCTCAGAGAAAAAAATGTGATATACGCAGTGAGAACAACAGTCAGGAAGCGTAGAGGCGTGGGGTTTGGAACCAGCCCGCAGATCAGTCATGGCTTTCCTGTCTTCCAATAATAGCTGTTTCCAAAACTGGCGATCATATTCTGGCGTTGCACAATGGTGGGAGAATGAAGAAACGCACGGTCAGCAGAGAAACGGGCGACGACGTGCAACGAAGCACCTCACGGAGAGTCAATGGTGTTCAGATGGGTTTTCCCGTTGTTGGGATGAAAGCTGGCGGTAGGTAGTGGGGTGGCTGGCTGGTGGTGGCCTAAAAGAGGAGGCGGTGGATGGATTACGAGAAGGTTTGTCCATCTGCCAATTGTTGCGCTCTCGCTGGTGTCTGCTGAAGATTGTGACCCTCAATCAGATGGGGCCCTTCTCCCACTGTCTGGTTCCACCCAGTGAGGGGTGCTTCTTGTTCCAAACGGGCTAGGCTGTGTCTGATACCCCTGCAAAAGAGGAAACCCTGTAAGCCATGTGCCTTGTTCGGCATAGCATTCGCTCCACCACATGGCTCCTGTGCTTCCCGCACCCTGCCCGTTCACTCGCTGCTCCCCCTCGGCGCTCCGTCACCGCGGTCACCGCCCACAGTTTTTTTCAAGCCACCGCCTTGCGAGGGGGGGGGAAAAAACCAGAAGGGAAACCGCCACATGAAGGTCGGCGGTAGCACTGCAAGTGGCGGTCGTCATTCAACGAGAAAAAAAGAATGGGAGCGATTGGAAGGGCCGAGTTCCACGCGACTGCAGCTCGCTTGGGGGGAGGAGCGGGTACACCTTCATGCTGCAACGCCGTTGATGATATTCCTGGGCCTCCTCCACAAAGCGGTAAGAAGGGCTGCGGTGTCTGACCTGGGGGAGGGGAGGGCTACGTCCAAGTTTTATATCTTGATATTGCAGTTGGTTGGTTGATGGCAGTTTCCGACCTAACCCAGCGCTACGTCCGGGGCTGGTGAGATGCTGAAACACGGCCATGCGCTGGGATTTGAGCTGTAATATCAGCCACTTTTACCTGGCAAGCAAGCACCAAGTGAAAGGGGCACCGTGTTCACGGCGTCCGGCGTCCGGCGTCCGGAAAACAAACAAAGAAAGGACAGCCCAAGTTTCGCTAAACGGCAAGCGGCAGAGGCGGGCAGGAAGAGAGAGGGAGAAGAAGGAGAAGGTGAGGTGAGGGTACCTTGGCCAGTCGCTTGGCTTGGCTCTTGGGTACCTGTACATGACTTGGCGAGAGGTATTCCGCACTGCACCGACCTGGCCATGGGCCAAGAGTCCATAGCCCACCCCATGCACCCACGCTATTTTGTCTTGACCCCTCGAGCCCTCTTTTTATTTGAACCAGCCAGTCCCGCCGCGGCACGCACACCCTTCCCATAGAATATTCCACCGATTGCTTGCAATGTGTACGTAGCTGCTGCTAGTAGATGGCCGCGACGTCCAACAATAAAACATCGACCACATCGCCCACGGATACTAATCTTCAATCGCCCACCCTCCCGAGCGACAACCCCTCGCCTGTCGGTCCCGGTCTGTTGGCTACCCAAGTTCCAGCACTACAAGCCGCCGTGTCCACCTCCACTCCCGCTTACACTCCCACCACCACCACCACCTCCACCTCCGCCTTCACCTCCGCGCCATCACCGTCGCCATCGTCCACCATCGCCCACCGCCCACACCACTCCAGCAGCCCCTCCACCATCTCGTTGCGCGCGGCTGGTTTTCTGGGCTTCTTTGACAGAACGCTCTCGGGCAAATCCGAGCCCAGAGTCCGTTCGCGCCAATCGCTCAGCCGTCTTTCGACTGGCCCCGAGGCTCTCGCCACTTTTGCTGCCGTCAGTGGCATCCAGCCTGGCCAGTCGAGCCCCGAGAGACCTCCTCGCAGCATCCGATCGGCGTCGCAGTCGACCAGGAACCCCCCCTCTCAGCCTTACAGCGAAACCGACCCAAGCAGACCCGAACCGACTCTTGTCGGTCGATTGGACAACAAAATGCACCAAACATCGTCGAGGTTACTCCGCATGACGGATGATGATAGGCCGTTTACTAAAGTCAGTCTTTCTTGTTTGCAATCGCATTGTGCAGAGGTGGGCTCGGTCCTAACTAGCAAGTGTAGGACTTCAAGGATTTGTTTGCGACACTAATTGTCAGCCTTCTGCCACTGTCGGCCCATCGCGTACGACTGACCAAGATTGAGCACACCTTTTTGTCTGAAGATGCCATCAACAATCTCGGATCGCTCAAATTCTCCCAATCCAACCGCATGCCTGATCCCAAGGACCCCTCCAGGATTGTGACAACCACCACCACAACGACGTTCTCCATGGCTAAGGACATGGCCCGTTCGATTTGCCAGAGGTTTCTGGAGGCGCGGTTTATCGAGTCGGCGGACGGGAGGTATCAGCAAGTATACACAATGAAGGGCTCGGTATGGCAGCTCACGCCTAAGGGCATCTCTATTTTGGACCGCTTCTGCTCAAGGAACGGCATTCAGCAAAAGCAGGTGGCCGAGCTCGTCGGTGCCTCGCTCCCACAGCTGGTATCTCTGGAGCGCGATGGGCAAACCGACAAGCTCCTCACAGACCGGGGAACTATCGAGGTTATCTTCAGAAGATTCATCGGCGCTAACGGCCCCAATGTGAAGAGCAGCGTCAGCTCCGCCGACTCGGACTCGTTGAGCGACTACAAGGATGGCCTTACTGGGGTCAAGATGGCCGCGGAACGCAAGGTCGGAGGAAAGACGTTCAAGGATACCTTTACCGGAAAGTCAAGCAACGGATTGGTTGATGGACTGCTCGACCACGGTCTGACCGCCGGGAAACTTATTGGAGATCGCTTCTCTGTTTGTGGAATACGACCTTATGGAGGCTTGTCCAGCAAGATCGCTCTCACATGTCCCAGTATCCCGCTCACAACCTTTTTCAACCAACAAAGCATGCCATTTATCAGGTTACGGCCAAGGGTAGGGATCTCGTGAACGGGGCTCTGGCCAGGGGGCGGCCATCAGAAAGCGACGGCCACAACACTAGAAGTGGTATCGCCAAGGATTCGAACACGCAACGTCTGGACAAGATTCTCAACGACCCCGCGCTGCGGTTGCTGTTCCGCGAGAACCTCCGTGAGACGCACTGCGAGGAGAACCTGTCCTTTTATATCGACGTGGACGAGTTTGTGCGCCAGTGCAGGACGGCCATCAAGTCGGTGCAAAGGACCCCTGCCAATGTGTCATCTCTGGATGGGATCAAGGAGATTATGGCCCAGGCTTATGGCATCTATAACGCATTCCTGGCTCCCGGTTCTCCCTGCGAGCTCAACATTGACCACCAGCTGCGTAACAATCTCGCCACCCGCATGACCAAGGCAGTCGGGCAGGATGTTGCCATGATTGATACGCTCCACGAGGTCACCGCTCTGTTCGAGGATGCTCAAAACGCCGTCTTCAAGCTGATGGCTAGTGTACGTTTTTATTCTCCCGCACATCATGGTACTCTTTGCTAACAAAATCTCCAGGATTCCGTCCCCAAGTTTTTGCGCAGCCCAAAGTACGAGCAGACATTGAAGAACTACAACTTTGACACGATCGGAGCCACCCACGGCCAGCCCCGTGTACCAGAACGGAGTCAAAGCAGGTCGAATCGCAAGTGACAGCCCAAACGACTCTTGTCGTTGAGGCTTTTGCGGCCCCCACTTTTTTGGCAGGATATGCAGTGAACAGGATATGTATCCTTCACGCAAATTCAGAACAAACTCACTGGCAGTATGCATTTGATGTATAGCCAGATAATACGAACACGCTACAAGAAATATTCTATCGTCGAGTTCTATTTCGGTGGGGGTGTGTACCAATCATGACTTGTCCGAGCTCATTGTTTGTGTTGACGAATAGAATATTTTATTTTTTTGCGTTGTCTCGTCTTTTTCCTGTCCGTTTGTCTCACTAATATAGTCATCGCGTTATGATATTCCCTTCTTTTTCTTCTTTGTTTGGGGAGGTCCTCTATGGGGATGTGAAGATCTCGTAATGGTGGGAGGGAAGGAAGGGAAATCACGTGGTCTTCGTTTTTCGTTTTGTCGGGAGGGGAGGGAGGGGGGGGGGGGGTGGGGGGATGGATGGATGGATGGATGGATGGACAGGTTGGTAGCATAGATTTTGGGGGAGGGAAAGGGGGGTTGAGGAAGCTGGTTGTATTGGCATTTACATATTATACCTTTTTCTTTTACTTACCACTACACACGTACACAACGTTTTTTTTTTGTGGCGGGGAGGGGGGTTCATCATTGCGAAGTTAAGGGGGGGTAAAGCGGGGAGGAAATGTAAATTGAAAATAGTGCGTGGGGGGGATATGCGGATGAAACATGGAGGCATTGTGTAGGACATGGCTGGGAGGAAGAAGATACTCAGAGAATGGGGGATAAGAAATGAAAACAAAGTATTAAACTTTGTTGCTGTGTTTTGTTTTTGTTTTGGTGACATGAGAAGAGGAAGTAAACAAACCTGATGTGAAAAGGGGGCGTAGGGAGGTAGGAATGCAATTTTCGCTTGGCGAGGCGTGAAGATGCCGTTTCATGTTGGAATGTATCCCCGCATTTCACTGAATAATTCCCAGCGTGCCGGTTAGGGTTGGTTATTGGATTGTTTTGGTGGATTGAACTGTTTATTGGCTGTGGATGGAATTGATGCACGGGTTTGAGGTGGTGTGATCCGGGGTGCTGGGACAATGTATGGTGGTTGCCATGCCATGGGCGTTATAATCTAGGGATGGACGACGGGCAAGATAAAAAGATGGGATGGGCGCGCAGTTATCGGAGGGGTTGGTTTTTTGTTTTGTTACTTACTGTCGTCCACGCTCATTATATCCCACGGCTTGAGACACACTACTTGCAAACACATCAAGACCAACATCTTTCAGGCAAGATACATTATCTACACTCACCACCACAACCACGTTATCATTATCGTCAAGATGCAGCTCCTCGCCCTTGTTCTCTTCGTCACGGCCACCTTGGCCGCCGCCAGCACAGAGCAACAGCCCTTCCGCAGACAGGTCGGCTCCAACTCGACGCTTGTTGTCGTGCAAGCGGCTGAGACTGGTGTATGTTTTCGCCTTCATTTCCCTCCTCTTACTCCACTGACACTGACATATCATCCTCCAGGCCTTCCGCGCAGGCGCCCCCCTCCCAACAGACGGCCTCGGCGCCGGCCGCTTCGCAGGTGACAGCGGATCTGGCTTCTTCGAGGTCTCGGGCGCGCCCAGCTCAACATTCACCGCAATTGGAGGGTTGCTGGGCGTGGTTAGTGCTGTGGTAGGCGGTGTTATGCTGCTCTAAACCTACCCGATCAGCACATGTCACCACAACCTCCTATTTGGCACCGCTACTTGCCCTCCCTCTCCCAAAAAGTAGCTCGCCTCTCCCTCCCCCTGACCCCTGACACATGACCATCATCACCATCCCCGCACATGGCCCATCCCAAATCTCATCTCCCCGTCGCCACGTGTCCCCGAGCACTCTCGGGCTTCCATTCTCCAAAACAATCAAAGCGAGCGAACACGAACGGACTTTGATCCGTTCCGTTCCCCCTTCTCTATCACGCGGGCGGGGGACGGAACGGAAACGGGCTCGGTACTTCGGCTTTAGCTCGTCATGGATTGATTGTGTGTGGCCTATTGTTTGTCTGTTGTTCATTGCCGTTCTTTGTTGTACGGGTCCCGAATCCCCGGGTTTAGTCGCCGGTGAGGGAAGGGAGCGGGAACTTGCCATTGATTATTGTGTGACTCTTCGGGTATCTCCGAGGCTTGGTTTTTAGAGAAGGGGTTGTTTTATTTTTTTTTATTTTTTTTTATTTTTTATTTATTTTTTGTTTTTAGGTTTACTGTGGCTTCTGTTAGGGAGGAAAACAATCAGTGTCTGTCTGGGATTGGAGTTTGGGGCTTTCTAGGGGCACACATATTACTCTTGCTTTTTTTTCTTGGGAGGGAGGAGATTCATGTACTCTATTCGTTATTCATGTAAGGAAGATACACAGGCTGGTTATGTGTTAAGAATTTGAGATTGGGTTGGAAAGAGCGTGTTCAAGGGGAGTGTTGTTACCAGTTCCGAGACGAGGGGCTATAGCCTCGCTGGCGCGTATCGACCATTGCTGGGTTCAAGCATAGGATGCCTTTCCGGAGACCCTCCCAAACCGGGGTCCATTCCTGACCATATCTTTGTCCCCTTCCACACCTTCCTCCCTTCACAGCCTTACCCTTATCACCATCACTATCACATGGCTCAGTCTCATCTCTCTCGTCACAATAGGTAGATGCAAAAGACAGAAAGATTCGCAATAGGGGTATCTACAACCAAAAATCTACATCAAACAGCAAACTCACAAACTTCCCAGTACATCCACCCCGTATCCTCCGTCCCCGTTCCAAACCCCAATTCCGGTCCCGAAAAAACAGGCGTGGCTTGGCGGCCGGGAACTTCCCTACTATCTACAGACCCAAGTACCTCTACCCCCCCAACCCAAACAAAGAAAGGCTTATCACCACCAACTCGCAGTCACTACACCCGCCCAGATCCAGCCCCAAGTTCTCATAACCCCGCGATAAGAACAATCAAATGATGCGATCCCTCAGCCTACCTCCATACCAAAAGTCCCCTAACCAGCAACCCACCACCTACCACAGGAAGCTAAAGCACCTCCGGAACAAAAGGCCCCCTCAACGTAGCGCTGCTCTGACTCCCCCTCTTCTCCTTATTCGCAATCTGCGAAGGGAGCAACTCGTCATAGGGGTTCATCTCGGGGTACTCCTGACCAACATCTGACCCAGCCCGACTCCTTGGCCCAGGGGTAGCACCATCAACAGACTTGACGCTCCCCTCCGAGCAAGCCCTCTGATGCCTCCCCCCCAGCGCCTGCCAGAGCGCATCCTGGGGTATCTCCTTCTTGTTCACGTCCGGTGTGCTATGCTGCGGCACCCTCAAGGGGTCAGGGACGAGGGTTCTATCCACCGGTTGGGTCGAGTGTTCGTTTCTCAGGGGGTGTCGCTGAAATCGTTGATCCCAGTAGTCTTGTCGTGACTCTTCGAAATAGGGCGTCTCTGGATAAGGAACGGTAGGCGTCGGACCGGAGAATTGGATCTGCACTGTTGGCTGCGGCGGTAGGGGGTTACATGTTTGAATGGTAGCTGGCTGGAAACTATGATACCCCATCGGAGGAGGGCTCTTAACCGACTGCGGCGGACTAGTCAAATTGCTCAGACTAGGCGACCAGAGCGGGCTCGTCTGCGCGCTGTAACAGGACGGAGATGACTGCGCGCTGTGCGTGGAGGATGACGCTGAACTGGGGCGGCTGTTTGGGGCGGAGGTGCTCATGTTTTGGCTGAAGCTCGGGGTGCGGATTGTGTTGTCGGTCGTGGAGATCCGGTTTGCATTGCTTGGGGTACGGATTTGATTCCCGGGCTTGTTGCTGGCGATTTCGGCCTTAATTTTCAGCCTGTCAACGAGCGCGGCGTGGGATTTCTTGAGTGTCTTTTTCACGAAACCTGCCATGAAGACGTTGCACTTCATGTTGACGTCCTCGCGGATGTAGAGACCGATAGGGGGGAGGTTGAGGCCGAGTTCGGACGGTTGGGGAATTTCGCCTGGGAGGCTGCCGCCTACGGACCATTTATCGCGGATGGCTGGGGGGCCTGAGGTTAGTGATGGGTGTGATGTGGTGGAAAGAAAACAGACATACTCAGCCCTGCTGGCGCATAGCAGTGCGTCTGCACCCCGTCGGGCAGATCATGGAACGCGCATGTGTAAGTGACATCCCCCGTTACAAGCCCGCCAGGTAAATACGAGATCTTATCTGTGAGAGAAAACCACTGGCAGTTGAGCTCATCTGGGCTTGCGTGAGGTGGGGGAGGAATAGGATGTCGCTCCTTGACCAGCGGGTTCAAATCGATCATCTCCTCATGGTCGTGGAGGAAGTTGACGACCACCTCCCGAGTGATGTTCGGCGGCAGCGGCGTAACCGTTGTAAACACTGTGCGTTTCGACATCCTGGAGTCGTGGGTGGTAGATCTTTTGCGGAAAACAAACAACTCTATTTTTTCTGGTCAACAAAAGATATCTAGGTAGGGTAAGTATATAGGTAAGGTAAATGACGGGAGAGCGGCGGGGTGGTGAGTGTGTCCAGGGACACCACCAACAGAAGTGTCAAACGAAACGTCATGGCGGCTGTGTTCAGGTAGACAGAAAGTCCCTTCCAATCGGCTGTGGCGTTGCCGAACTTGGCCCTTTGTTGCTTTCTTTGTTTCTGACTTGCCTGCTGCTGGCTGGGCTGCTGCTGCTGCTGCGCTCCAACCTGAAAACGTGGTCGGCAGTGCAGCAGCCAACCAACTCGGAAATAGCGACCCTCCTTCTGCAGGCCCAGTGCCACCGTTACACCAACAGGGGTTCAGATGTGCTGTTGCTGAGTGGCGCAACCCCAGACTCGCCCGCCAAAGCTTATCTCAGCCGTTCCAACGAACCGCTGTTCGGTCCCAGATCATCGGATCATCAACACCCGGCTGTTGGCCACATGGACCCTCGGGAGCCAACATGTCATAGTGTGCGATTTCCCGCAAGACATACTGTATTGGTGCAAATACATATATTCACCATCCCTCTAACCGGCCGACAAGCGCCATCATTACAAATCATATAAGTCGTAGGCTGAGCATCCTCAGATCTCCTTGCACCAGCGCGCCAAAACCGCATTGAGTTTTACCGCCGCCGGAATCTCCTCGAGTGCGACATCCAGCTTCCACATCTTGGAGTCCAGCCCGCTCAGACCAGCTGTTCCTCTCCCTCCCGAAGCCGCCGGCACAAGGAGACCGAGCGCAACTAGCCGCTCCCAGGCCATTCCTGCGATACCACGACCCCACACTCTTGTTCCGCCTCCAAGAACGAGAAGTCCCGAGCTTGCCGTCTGAGCTCGCTGCTTACTCATGAGCGACGAATACTCGTCGTAAGCCATCGCGAAGTTTACCGTATCCGTATGTGCTACAATGTCCAGGCGCGCCGCTGCGATTAAGAGTGAGAGGTCTAGATCTGATAGTGATTCCAGCATGTGCAGTTTCGAGTCCGGTGGGTCCAAAGAAACAGCGATGCTGGGTGCTGGTATCCGCGGGAAGGGAGATGTTGGTGTTAAACCCGCCAAAGGCATGACACACGTCGTCAAGAAAGCAGAGGTCGACTTTGTGGTAGCAAAATATGACTCGAGGTGGTCTTTAAATCTCTGATCTTTGCTGTAGAGACGCTGCATTCGCCTGTTAGTACATGCGACTACATCCGCAAAGCTCATGGGAACTTACCTCGATCCGTTCGTTCCACCACTTCCAGAACTCTTCATGACCCTCCAGGGACTCATCAACACCCTCAGCTTCCATATCCTCCTCATCAATACTAAGTCCTTGCCTGCATACATCCCAGAATGCGGGAAGACTCTTTGGCAATGACAGATAGACATATCTGTGGCTGAATCGACTCTTGACTCTCTTCTCCAGACTCTCTACCACGTCGATCCTCGTCGTCAGACCAACAACCGCAATAGGCGCTTTCCGAGCCTGTGCAATATCAAACAGATTGTACAGAAGCGTTTGTCTGGCATGTGTGGCGAACAGATCGAACTCGTCTATCACAAATACAATCGACTTGGATGTGACGCCTTCGTGGGATTCGGCGATCTCCGAGGGATGCGACAACAAAGCTAGCAGAGAAGCCATCGTGTCTGCGTAGTTGCTCGTCTGTATTTAATCAGCATTTCCTCGTGTTGTTTCGTATAAGGCAGTCCAAACCTACCTTGTTAACAAGATCATCCTCCACAGCCATCTCCTTGCCCAACTGCCGCCAGATCTCCCTCAACGCCAGCTTATCATCAGTATGAATGAACCCATTGAGCCTTACGACGTGAAACTCCTCCTTATGTTGCTTAGACACATCAGAGATAACCGACTCTATCAGCGTCGTCTTGCCACACCCCCGCGCACCAATGACCAACATTGAGTTACCCTCACCAGCAACAATCGTCTGCTCCACCAGCTGAAACGTTTTCTCATACGCTTCGTTCTGCCCAAAAAGCTTGATCCGTCGCCTCCCAGAGCACCGATCAAGCAATACCCTTTGTGCCACACGCAAATGCTGTTCAAAATTGGGAATATCGGGCAGATCCTCAGCAACCTGCGCAACCGTCGCGGCTTTCATGTCTTGGAATGAAGCCCCCCTAACCTTTGCTGTATCGCCCACGCTCAGCATCCCTGCCGCTTTCTTCTCTGCACAGTCCTTGCAGAACCAGTCTCCCTTGGGAATCCTCGCAACGCCATAACACTTCTGATGAACAGCCATGTCGCAACTGTCACAAAACAGAATTTGGTTTCCACGTTTAGAGTCGGGTTTCGAGCAAACAGTGCAGACCTCATCATCTTCTTCCTCCTCGCTCTCTTCCTCCTCCGCCTCGTTTTCGTCCTCGGGCCCAACTTCGCCATCAAGTCCCAGCCCATGCTTTTCCCCTGTCTTCTTCGTCGGAGTACCCTCCTCATCTTCCTCACTTTCCTCCTCCTCATCATTTTTTTCCTTCGCAGCAAAAACAACATTCTTCTTTCCCCTCTTCCCATCCACTCCCTTTTCCTTTCTCGGCGTAAGTATCCCCTTTGGAACCGTGTGCATCCCACCACCCCGTAAGCTCGTCGCCGCTTTCCCTGAGAGCTTCTTTGTCGTGGTGACATCGTCCTCCTCCTGCTCCGCGACAGGTTCCGCCGCGACTGGCTTGTTAGGTGGCCGGCCTCGTTTTTTCTTCTCCGCTGGCGGTTCTTCCACATTCTCTTTATCATTTCGAGGAGCAGAAGTGACAGATTTTACCGTTGCCTTGCGCTTTGTGGCAGGAACAGTGGTGGTGGTGACTTCAGCAGAACTCAACTCATCCTCATCCGAAGCTGGAAAGTCGTAAATGTTACTCTTTTTCTTGACCGATGATTGCCGTGTTTTCTTGGTGGCGGTGAGAGGTTTGGGCTGGGGTTCTTCCGAGTCGGGAGCCTCATCGGAGTTGTTTGCTGCCGCAGGAGCAGGTGCCACGCGACGCCCACGGGGTTTTGCGCCGTTTGTTGCTGTTGCTGTTGATTCCTTCGATACTCGTACTCTTTTCGCGGCTGTTGTTGATGATAGTTCTGGCTCATCTTTGTTTTGGGAGCGTGCTCTTTTCTTGCCTGCTGCTGCGGCGGTAGTGGTGCCGCGGGGTGCCATTGATGCTGAAAATGAGAGAGAAAAAAGAAAAATGTAGCTGCTATTCCAGCTTGATATTACTATGAAGGAGAAAGAAAAATGACAACAATGAGAGTTGGAAAGGTGTCAGGTGAATGAGCTGCAGGTTTTCATGAGATGGGCTCAGTCAGACAGGGCTGCCAGTCGCGTCTCAACTCAGGTGCGAAGCGCGTTGGACTGTTAATTGTTCGCTTATAAGGATTTAAAGTGGGTGCTTCAGGGGCTGGAGGGTGATGCAAATATCGATGGGAGCTTGGTCTGTGCAACCATTTCTGTATCATAATTATTGCTCTATTGAGGGTTGTCCAACGTCGATGCCTCACTTCACGAATGGGAATGGCCAATAAGTTGGGCAGACAATTGTAAGACGAGTGTTTGAGGCGTTCCTGCCTTGAATGTGGCTCCCCCATGCCTCCTTCCCAACGAAGCTCTTGCGCAACATAGCTCTTTCCCGGCAACGCTCTAGCACTGCAGGGCTCCTGCCCAGAGTTCCAGTCCCTGCCACAATGCTCCTTCCATATGTCGTTCCTTCCTGCAGTCAGTTTTTTGACAGTGCAAAATCATCGCCCTTTTGCCCTTTTGCACATTACCTCTTTAACACATTTCCACATTATCACATACATTGCACCCTTTGCACTTGAGCCTTTTGCACATTACATTACCCCTGCAAATGAGTATCTTCGTCTGGCCATCTGTAAGTAGAGGATGGTTTCTCCATGAGTATTCTCAAGAAGCTCACCCTCGACGTTGCAGGTTGCTTCTGGTCATTGCCGTGTGGCAAGAGACTCACCGAGACCGTAAACACCCATCACGAAGATGAAGATCACCATTCTCAGCGTCACTGCTGGCGTTCTGGTCCTCTTCGGTGTATGTACCGCCAAGTAACCAGTCAGTTTGGACATCACTAACAACCAAATACAGACTACCCAGGCCTTCGAGGTCCCGGACGTCGTGCCCGCTGTCACCTTCAACATGCCCATCAACATCACTGACAAGAACAACGCCACCGTCCCTATCACTGGTACGATATACCCCCCGCAAGACTTTTCTCTACTATTCCCTACATCCTTTCAAGGTAGTGAACCACAAACGTTCTTGCTAACCACCACATCCACCAGGCACCATCCAGCAAGCTGTAGCCAAAATGGACACCGACTACCCCGGCTGGAAAGCCGCCTTCCAGGTCCCATGCCCCCCCCCACACGTGGCCCCTCCAAGAAGCCCAAAAAGATCGACTGCTGGCCCAAGGGAGAAGAGAAGACCGTCACCATCAACATCGAGGATGGCATCGCGTACCTCTCGGATATGCCCGGCCTCACCCAGAACGACACCGGCCAGTGCGGCCGCGTGAGCTGCTCGTACAACTGGGCCATTCTCTGGCGCAACACCGTAAGCTTTAACCCTCAACTCACCCCATCTTTGTTAATTTCTGGTTTCTGACACGAGGCGAAAAAATACAGGATGTCAAGAAGAAGTACGTTCCGTGGCTGGACATTGCCGATTCTGCGTTTGATATCTGCCCTTGAGTGCAACTCCAAGGAGAGCCACGACTACGTCAGGGGCATGCCTACATGGATGGCAGGTGGACTACCATCGTTCGCAAGGAACAGTGCTGATCGCCTGCCGGCGGTTACAATGGGGATTGGCACCCTGAAAAGAACGATAGGGTGGGTGGGCATTCCATTCTCGGCACTTGGGGGACTTGATTGCGAGGGTGTACTTGGTTGGCTTTGGCTGATACTGGGAGTATCTCGCGCCTTGGGTAGTGGCTGGTTGGGGATAATTACCAGGTACCTAGATAACAAAGGATTGGGATCTGACTTTTCTCACATGAACTACTTTTTTGATTTGATCTTCTCCACCCGTGTATTTGTCAAGGGCGGGCAGACAACCGCGTCAAACCTGTTCCCGTTCAATGTTGATGAAAGCTATGAGTGAGCCATGCTTGCCACATTGCTCACTCCTGTGGGATGTATATAGTGATATAAGGATACGCCAAGGGATCACACAATGATTTAATGATTTCCAAAGCGTCATTTCATGATACCACCTCACAAGTCATGTTTCGTTGGCCTACTTCTTCCATGTTGACATACAAAAAGGGGGTGGGTGCCAAGACTTGTCGATGGAGTCAAGTGGAGTCCAAAAGTAGGCAAAAACATACAACACCGAGGATTCCCCAGTGGTCACCCACCTGAGTACTAGTTCGGCACTCAACTGCTTATCTAGGGGAGAACGGACGGGATCCCGAGCTTTCAGTTGGTTATGGTCGTATGTGATAGTTCTGCACAGGGTCGGGGAATATGAGGTGGCTCTCAATGCCTGGCCAGGAGGGCTGTTGCTTTTGGTGTCAGTTCAAGGTTGTGACAGACAATCCATTACACCAAAGACTGGCTTTCAAGTGATAGTTAGATTCTCGACCGTGTATCCTGGAATCTTGACTGCTGGTTCTTCAGGACATCTGGATCCGAGGCCTGCTGGCAGCCGCCTTCTCACCTCTCTATACATGGAGTCCTCTGGTCATTTGTCATGATGGGCTTCATGCCCACCAGTGACTATACGAAAGGCGACCCCATTTGAGCCTCAGGGTAGAGACGTTGAAAGTATCTTCGTGATGTCATTACTCATACAACCACCCCGCTCTCTACAAGCTAGCAAACAACTCCCCAAACCTCTCCCTCGCCTCCTTAACACAATCATTCGCATAAATCATCTTCTGCACGTCCGGACTAGCCCACTTGTCAGGCACCGACCCTGACTTTCCGTTCTCCTTAAATGCCTTGTCCCTCTCCTCCTTCGCCTTGCCCTCTCCCAAATGCAATACCCGTCCAGAGTGAGTCGCCAGATCCACCAGCGCGGTACAGTGCGGCTTCCGCAACAACTCATACACCTTCAATGTCTTGGTAATCGTCTCCCCATCGTGAATCTTCTCCGCCGGAATCTCGCTTACAACCTCGGCCAAGACCGCCCCGTCCTCAATGGCCATCGCCGCACCCTGACTGAGATGCGGAAGCGTGGCATGGCACGCGTCCCCAACAAGAGCAACCGACCCGTGAACCCAAGTAGGAAGAGGCTTGTGAATCCGCAGTTTCCACTCGCAGACTTCACCATCAGGTACGAGGTTAAGCATATCCTGCACCAGCGGGCAGAAAGTCTCAAACACCGACAGCATCTGCGATTTTGAGCCCTTGGTGGTATACGTCGCCGACGTGGCCGAGGCAAAGTTGGTATCCGGGTGAGCAGTCGAGATGTTGTAAATGTTGTGGTTAGAGACAGGATACGCAATAATATGCCTCCTCTCACCCACCCACCTCACCACAGTGTTGCTATTCAGCAACTTGATGAGCTCCGGAAAAGGGGCAAGCTGTTCCCTTGTGAGCATGATTCTATACGCAGCCTGGCCGGTGTCCTCCTCTTCCGTCTGCGTCAAGTTGTGCGACGCCCTGAGAAGGTGAGACCGGGTAAGGGATTTGATCCCATCCGCCGAAAGCAAAATATCGCATTCAACTATGAACTCCTCTTCCTGAGCACGGGACCTGAAAATCAACGTTGGCTTGGGGGAGAAGGACGTGATGTTGACAAGGGATGTGCCAAAGTGGAATTTGATCGCCGGTTCCTTCAAGCAGCCGTTATACAGACTCCCCGCGAGGTTGGAGCGGTGACCGGTGAGATGAGGAAACCCATATTTCTCACGAATGTCAGGCATGGAGACGTGGGCGAGCTCTTCGTTTGTGCTGCCCTGTCTGATGCTGGTGGCTTGGACGTCGGTGGCTTCGGCTTCGATCTCGGGGGCTACTCCGAGGCGGTCGAGGACGCGCATGACGTTTGGTGGCATTTGGATTCCCGCGCCGACGAAGCCGAGGTTGGAGGCAGTTTCGTAGACGGAGATGTTTTTGAAGCCCTTTTTGGCGAAGGCGAGGGCGGTGCCTAAGCCTCCCATGCCTGAGAGGGTTGTTAGAGATCTGGGGGTGGGTCTGGGGGTTGTTTTGAGGGGGGACGTACCTGCGCCGATGACGACGATGCGCAGGTCATAGACGTCTGCGGCCGTGGAGTGAGGCATCTTGATGTTGTTTTGGTGACAATGCTATTCAGGGGTAGGTATCTTTGGACTGAAATAGGGGGCAGGTGTTTAGCGATTTGTCCAAGAGGTGATGTTGTGGGATGTCACTGTGTCAAGAGCTGAAGCAGTCAACAAGAACGACGAGAAAATAAATGATATTCAACGGATATATAGCTTTCTACACGACCCGTGGGTCCATGCCTCGGCAGCTGGTCTGGTGGGCAATATCCATCACAGATTGGTGTGGACATTCGCGCTGTTGGATCAACAGCGGAACGGCAGTGGGGATGGCAAATGCATGTATATTTCTTACTCGCAGAATCACGGCATTCCGAACTCTTGAACTAAGCTTCTCTACCAGCTGCCAAAGGGTTCAGTTCAGATCGGAAGTGTGGGGTGAGTGAACTGCGGGCGTGCGGATGCGGGGAAAACTTGTCTCCAGCCGGCTGCGGGAGAAATCTGGATCGGGTCGTGGATCTTCCCCGGAGAAGCTGAGGAAAATGGATTTGCCGGAGTCGCGGTTGAGACTTCGGAATTGCAGCGTGGAAACACAACCAGGCCGGTCCTGCCGGTTGCCTCTGGGATCCTGAGGTGCAGACTAAGGCTTTGACCTGGGCCACCAGCTGGCCGCCCAAAGTGAGTGTTATAGCTACCGTAAATCCGTCGGCAATCTGCAGAGATAAAGTTAGAATGAAATGGAGAGAAGTCTCTGTTAAATTTGCAATGGCTACTAGACTGGTCTTCCACACATATCGACAATATGGTAGAAATATATCGACGTGGAAATCGGAGCTTTTAAAACCCCCGCATTTTGTGCTCTAGTGCATGTGCCACAGCTTATCCCCCGCATTCCAGCGGCCAGCCATCGCCGTCATCGGCCTTGTCAGCGAATTTGATGAGAACGTTATCTGATGGAAGTGGGCTTACTGGGATGGTAGGTAACAATAGGGAGCACTTCTCTGCCAGTACATATATATACCAAACCAGGTAGCCGGGACTGCGGAGGTTGAGATGCCGCGAATGCATAAAGCACTACATCATCGCCCGTAATCGTATTTATGCCATGTTTTCATTTGAGGTTATGCTGGCCATTGTGCTGCCCGAGACGGGCCTTCCCCACCAAAGGCAGGCGTGTGTGGGTCTTTTCAGATGAATGACGACGGGCCGCCCAACCACGCGGGAAGGGAAATGCTTGAAACATGTTTCACGGGAAGAGAGAGGGACGATTTCCTGGGACAAAGCAATCAGTAGCTAAAAACAGATGGAGTCACTATAGCAGCGATAGCTTAGCAGATCTGCTGGCAGATTTCAACAAAGGGAAAAGGTGAAGCGCGCGTCTATCTCTTGTGTCACTTGCCCCATCGAACAACGATTCGAGGGCGCGCGCCACAGGCACAATCATGGTTGCTCTCCAGGAACAGAGTGGCACAGTTGCAGCAAAGAGTGGGAAGCGATCAACTGGACAGCAGCAGCCGCCGACGTCACTTGCAGTTCCTGAGACGCAGCCAATCACACCCCTGTATTGGCCAAAATGCTCGAAGCGACCCAGCTGGCTAGCAGGGTTCCCATGGGGTTTCAAGCCGCCGTTGGGGGCCTCAAAAAGCTTCCAGGGCATCATTTCAACTCTGGAGCTCCTCTTATCTCAACATATCCATGAGTGCTGGCCGGCACGAGATCGACAAGAGCACCAAGCCGGGTCGACGGCCGTCCAGTTCCACCTAGTCATACCTCCGTACTTGTACACCGCAGTTCTGCTTTGGTTTTTATTATTGCTCAATCCTCGTCCTACTCAGCAAACACCTCCACCGCTCCCGTCTACAACGCGCCTTGACGGGAACTCTTAACACCACGCCGTGACAACCCCTTTTATGCATGGACTACGATAGTTGACCATCGCTCTCGCCGCGGCAGGTTCACGCTGCGGAGCTTCCACGATAACAATACGATCCATACATTCTTCTAGCCGCTCAACATGGCTACCCCTACCCCGGACGTCACCGACCCGGTGACGGAGACGTTATCGACGATAGCGTCGGTGTCCACGTCCCTCTTGGAAACGATATTGTCTTCGTCAACAGAGGCGCTGTCGACAACATCAACGCAGGCTGCCACGACAACGAGCAGCAGCGCAGCCGAGGCGCCTACTGGGCCAACAGACGGGCGGCCAGGATCAGGACAGCAGGACCGTGGAATAAGTTTAGTGGCTTTTGTGACTGCATTGGCCGCTTCGTTGATTGTTTTCGGAGTGCAGATGGGCTTCTTTTTGCTATTACGGAACAAGCTGGTCAGAATCTTGTGCGTACCTCCATCATCTCCGCCTTCATATCCAACCCCTCTTCTTTCTGTTGCGTTTCTAAGGCGCTAACTGGGTACCGCGATGATAGCAAGCCGAAAACCTACCTGGTTCCCGAACGCGAAAGAACAGAACCACCACCCGCCAGCCATTTTGCACTCATTTATAAGCTCATGGCGTTCAGGGATCGCGAGATCATCAAGAAATGTGGACTCGACGCCTACTTCTTCCTACGATATCTACAGACTTTACTGATCATCTTTATTCCTATCGCTCTCGTCGTCATTCCGATCTTGGTACCTATCAACTTTGTGGGCGGACTCGGCAAATCGGTTGTTGAGGATTTGAAGGATGATGATGGCAACCCTATCAACAAGACTAATCTAGACCTGCCAACCGGATTAGACACGCTAGCCTGGGGTAACGTTCCCCCGGAAAAGCAACATCGGAGATGGGCTCATCTGATCCTTGCGCTTCTTGTCATTATCTGGGTCTGCGGTGTGTTCTTCTTCGAACTTCGCGTATACGTCAAGATCCGACAGGACTACTTGACCAGCGCCGAACACAGATTACGAGCCTCGGCGAATACGGTCCTTGTGAGCTCCATACCGGACAAGTGGCTCAGCGAAGAGGCCCTGAGAGGTCTATTTGATGTGTTTCCGGGGGGCATTAGAAATGTCTGGTTGACGCGGGATTTCACACCACTCCTCGCCAAAATTCACAAACGCGATGCTATTCACAAGCAACTCGAGGCAGCCGAGAGCGACCTCATCCGGGAGGCGAAGCGCAGGCAGTTGAGACAGGCTAAGGAAGGCGGACTGAGGCAGCGCTTCACTTCTGAAGGCAGAGCAAATAAAGTTCAACGAGCACAACAAGCAAAGGCTCAGAACTTGGAGGCTCAACGGCGCGCTGAAGGCCCCGGAGGCTTGAGCGCCAACACTCCAAGAATCCCGCACAGTGTGCAAGAAGAGGTGGCGGAGGAAAAGAAGCCGGAGGGCGATCTCACTGATGTGCAGGAGGAGGGATCCGAGGATACCGAGGCCGATAATCAGCGCGGCAATCCTCTCACCAAAATTGGACGCGGCTTGGGTAAGGGCCTGGGCAAGGGCGCCGCGGTGGTCAGCGGGGCCGGACTAGGTATTCTCGGAGGAGCAAAGGCTGTCGGAAAAGGCATCGACAATGAGTTGGAAAGGTTTGGAGGGTTCACCGTGATCAATCAACCCGAGGGGCGAGCTCCGTCTCCTGGTAACTCGCCCACCTCGGATGTTTCGTCCCCACGAAGAGCCCAGATTGCCGTCGACGAGGACGACAAGCCTAGAACGTCGTACGCCTCCGAGAGGCCACTTACCCAGTCCACCAGGCATCAACACACGACATCCAACGCCACCAACGAGACCGACTCAAGGCACGACGATTTTAACCCCAGAAGCTTTGGAAACACAACTCGAAAGGCTACCAACATGGACGAGATGATTGTGAATAAGAAGACGTATTGGTTCCAGTTTTGGAAGCCACCAACTGGCAGCTATGCATCCCCAATCCCCCAGGGGTACGAGGGTGGCGAGTACCCGTGGATCAAGACAGAGAAGAAGTCATTCTGGGAGAAATTCAAGAGCTCATTGCCTTGGGTCGAAGATGAATCCGATCCGGTGGAATACCCACCGGCTTATAACTACGACTACAGGACGCACCCAGAAGATGGTGCTGAGTGGACGAAGTGGCTCAAACCAAAGAACCGCCCACAACACCGTGTCGCGAATTTCGATTGGACCCCTGACTGGTTGCCTGGTCTGCCTTTCATCAACAAGAAAGTCGACACCATCTACTGGTGCAGAGAACAGCTGGCCCAACTCAACATGGAGATTGAGCAAGACCAGCAAAACCCCGAACGCTACCCTGTCATGAACTCGGCGTTCATCCAGTTCAATCATCAAGTGGCTGCCCATATGGCTTGCCAGTCAGTAACTCACCACGTACCGAAACACATGGCACCCCGTATGGTTGAGATATCGCCCGACGATGTCATCTGGGACAACATGGCCATAATGTGGTGGAGCGCATGGCTTCGAAGGGCGGTTGTGTTTCTTGTCGTGGCAGGCATGATTATCCTCTGGGCTATCCCCGTTGCCTGGACAGCCTCGCTGTCACAAATAGACGCGTTGCTCAAGCAATATCCGTGGCTTAGCTTCATTAACAGCAGCGAGACACTCACGAACATCGTCAAGGCCGTGGCTGGTGTGTTACCCGCCATTGTGCTGGCCATCCTGCTGGCGCTTGTCCCTGTCGTCCTCGACCTTCTGGCGGAATTTCAAGGAGAGAAGACGGGATCCTTGAAGTCAGAAATGGTCCAGATCTATTATTTCGCCTTCCTCTTTACCCAAGTCTTCCTCGTTGTCTCTATTGCAGCAGGTACCTTCCAGGTCCTAGAGGAGCTGGGGAAAAGTCCGCAGGAAACGCCTAACATTCTAGCCCAGAACATTCCCAAAGCTGCTAACTACTTTTTCTCCTACATGATTCTCCAGGCTTTGTCCACGAGTTCGGGTACCTTGCTGCAGATCGGAACACTCGCCGTTTGGTATTTCTGGGCTCGGATCGTCGACAACACAGCGCGGGCAAAGTGGGTTCGGAACACGCAGCTCCCGCACATCAACTGGGGCTCCTTCTTCCCCGTGTACACGAACTTCGCCTGCATCGCCCTCATCTACTCTATCGCCGCGCCCATCATTTCCATCTTCGCCATCATCACATTTGGTCTTCTATGGGTTGCTCACCGGTACAATATGTTGTACGTCACGCGCTTCAAGACCGACACCGGCGGTGTGCTTTATCCACGAGCAATCAATCAGACATTCACCGGACTGTATGTCATGGAGCTTTGCCTCGTGGGTTTGTTCTTCTTGGCTCAGGATGAGAACAACAAGCCAGCCTGCATTCCTCAGGCTCTGATCATGGTTGTCACACTCTTTCTCACCGCGCTGTACCAATACATCCTTAATGCGTCGTTTGGTCCGCTGTTCCGGTACCTGCCCATCACCTTTGAAGACGAGGCTGTCCTCCGCGACGAAGCTTTCCGACGAGCACAGGAGCGCCGACTCGGCCTCTACGACGATGATGAAAATACCCATCTCAACGGCGTTAACGGCACCGGCGATGGCGAGGACATTGAGCTCGAGAAAATCGGCCAACACAAACGCTCCCACTCCCGAACGGGGACCGTCATGTCCAAGATGACCCACGCGGGACAGTGGGCTGCCAAGGGCGGAAAGCAGATTAGACGTGCTACTGGCAAGACTAACCAGGCGATCCGCACCGCGGCCGACTACCGCAAACAGAAGCGGCAAAAGGACCTCGAGGCTCAGCGCGCGATGGGTGATGCTTTGTACGGGGGTTATTGTGATGCTGTGGAGGACTTGACGGCGGAGGAGAGGGATGTTTTGGTACGCAAGGCGTTTCAGCATTCGGCGATGCGGGCGAGGAGGCCGATTGTGTGGATTCCGAGGGATGATTTGGGGGTGAGCGATGACGAGATTGGGAGGACGAATGAGTTTAGCCAGTATATTTCGATTACGAACGAGGGGACGGCGCTGGATAGCGAGGTGAGGGTGGTGTATGGGAAGAATCCGCCGGACTTTTCGGATGTGGATTTGATTAACCTATGAGGAAAAGGGGTGAGGAGGATGAAGTTGATGATAATGGGATATATGATGGGGGCGGTAGAGACGGGGGGTTGTACAGATAATTGTGAAAGGGAAATACCCAGGTGTTGTTTTGTTTTGTTTTCTAATTGTGTTCTTTATTGCTTATTTTTTGGTTAGTAAGGAGGATGATACTGGATACAATTGGGTGGAGAGGGAGAAAAGAAGAAGAAGAAGAAAAGGAAGCATTAGACCATGCGTGGCATATCTGTAATGAAGCATACGGCATAGCATCATTTGTTTTTGTTGTAGATGTAGATGGGGTGAATAATGTTGGGGTATATATATCTTGGATCGCATTCTGGTTTTTGGGGCGCGTTTAGTGACTGAATGTTCAATTTGCATACCATACATGATAGACAGCGCTTGCTTGTTCAGGCGAAGGGAAGAAAGTTATACCATGTCTCTGCTCTAAAGCTCGTGTTTCTGGCCGAGGTATTACTTGTTCCAATCTTTCATCGAGTCAGGACGAAGAGATTCTTGTGAGGCTGGAATCAATTGTCGTCGGTCAGTGATGGGAAAAAAGACTCTGAGGACATAATCCATGATACAAAATTACACTTTCATTCTTGATCTACAATACGAGTAATGCGACACAAACGCCACAACTAAAAGCCAGACAACCCATCATGAAAACATAAGGTTGAAAAGAAAAACAAAACACCAAAGACTTTTAACCGAATCAAGAAAACCAAGCCAAACGCAATAATCTATCAAACGTATAGAAACGCATAGAAAACCATAACTCATGCTGTCTAGTCGTATCACAATCTCAACATCTCACCTGTCATGGTTTCCCATGCCTAGGGTTAGGGTTCCAGTCTGGTTGAACCAGGATGCTCCGAGCCGGGCAGGGTTTGGTCATTTGCTTCCTGTACCTAGCTTTTCCCTCTCTTAGCTTCCTCACGCGACCTTGTTGTATCGACCTCAGTTGCTAACATAACCATTTTTTCATCAACATTTACACCTTCAAATCTCCGCCTTTCTGACCTTCTCCCCTTTCTCCTGCAACCTCTTCCCATCCTGCTGCATCCTCTCGCCCATCTTCTCACCCGCCTTACCAACCTGATCCTTCAGGCCAACCACCTCCTCCATAATCCAGTTTCCCGCCTCTCCCACAACCCCATTCACCACCCCTTTGGCATCGTCCACAACTCCATTCACAACCTGCTTCGCGTCACCCACAACACCACCCACAACCTGCCTGCCCTGCTGCACCACCTCCCGTCCTTGATCCATAACCTCTCTTCCCTCCTGTCTCAGCTCCCGTCCTTTCTGCTTGCCGATCCCCACCGCCTCATAGGCAAGCTGCATCAAAGGGCCGAGAACGATTGCTCCAAAAACGCAAAAGACAGCGGTACATACCTGCCAAATGCCGTACATCATGGATCCCGGGGCGAGGGAGATGAACTTGAGGAACTCCGTGACCTGGTAGAGATCCTCCTGGTGGGTGATGTAGTACTTCACATCACCCTGACCACTCTGACCCTGACTGCCGCTGGCGGTGCCACTCTGCTTCAACTTTTGCAGCTTATTGCCGCCATTGGCTCCAGCAGGGACGGTGATTGGGCTGGAGGGGGCAGACGCCTCTCCTGCGGCGACCTCGCTGAAGGAGGGCTTCTCCCCTTCCTGGATGAGATGACGGGTCTCAGAGGCAGCGTCATAGAGTGTCTCGCCGTCGGTAGAGGCTTCACTGGGGGGATGATGGGGGAGGGGCTCGACGAGGAGGTTGGTAGCTGTGCCGTTGACGGTGGGTTGTTGCTGGGAAGAGAAAGAAGAGCGGGCCTCGAGGGAGAGGAGAGAGACGAGCTCTACCCGGCGGGCATTGTGGAAGGGGAGGAACCAGATGGAGAAGTCTTGGTTGAGGTGAACGTAAAGGGTGTTGGTCTTGTGGTCGAAGGCAACGGAGGTGATGGAGAGGGAGATGCGAGGGGAGAGGAGCTTGTACCTGTGACATACGAAGTTAGATCACAGTGGGATAAGGGCAAAGGGGAAGGAGGAAAGGGGAAGACGGACCATCGGTAGATGGCAATGATGAAAGCTCTGGAATCGAGGTTCGTGGTATTGGTGAAAGGAATCTGTCTATCTTTGAAAGAAGGCACCCGACAAAACGGGTGCGTAAAAGAAGCGCCCTTCGCAAAATATTTGAAAATCGTCCGTGCCTGCTCGTCCGCGTTGCCCTGGGTAAGGGAGCGGATCACGTTCTTGATATCGTTGACTGGGTGATCCATGATGTTCGTTGCTGCTTGATGTTCTTTAACTCTTGTTCTTGTTACAGTGGAAGTTGAAGTTGAGGAGGAAAATTGCACGGGGATGTCCAATTCAAATAGTAACCCAAACGTCATGCCAGAGCTCTTACGGACCATCAAGCGCTTTCACATGCCACTGATAGCTTGACGTTTGCGTATGGAATGAACCACCTTCAAGCTCTCCTGGTGATGTCATTACCTCTCAAAGTGGGGTCCCGGAGATTTTCCAGCATGTGGGTAAGACACGGGAAGGCGCCGGGAAACGGCTCTAACGCAGGGGTTGATCGCCGGCTCCGGTAAGCGCCAAGCCCGGGCTTTTTGCTGCCGAAGCTTTAATCTGGTGGTGATGCCATGGTTGACATTAGTTCCTGCGGTAGCTCTGGGCTTGGAGAAGAGGAAAAGCTTTGCTCTAATGACGAGGTAGTTACAAAAAACCATTGGAAGCTGAGATAAATCCCTACCGAACCTCCCTTGCATGATCGAGATGCAAGCATTTTGCTGTCAGAAACCCACAATCCACCCATCTTTTGAACCATCCAAAGTTCCTGCAGTCCGAAATACTCGTCGGTTCAACCCATCATCATACAATGCCATTATATACCAACCATCATCATCATCGTCATGCCCACCCACCCACTACCTCCTATGACTACTCGATCTCCTCACCTCCACCACCCTAGCATCGCCCCCAGCAAACCTCTCCGGATCAACCTCCCTATACCCACTACTCCTCCTCTCCTGACTCCGAATCCTACTCCTCTCCCTCCTCCTCCCCCCGCCTCTCACCGGTGAATGCTCCTCAATAACAACAACCTCATCCTCCACCGTCCCCGTATCATCATCACTAACTTCCACCACCCTCCTCACCCCTCCCCCTCCCCCCCCTAGAATAACTCCTCCTCCTCTCCTCGAGAATCACACTCTCCATCCCACCCCCCGTCCGCTCCTCCACAATCACCGGTCCCCTAGACTGCTCCCTCGTCGTCCTCGTAATCTCAATATCCCTCGTCCTCCTCCTCTCCCCCCGCGAATGCGCCCGGTGGTGGTGCGACTTGCGTGTAACGACCGACGCCGTCCCCTCAGTTGTGGAGTCCACATTGCCCAATGTTAATGCACGTGTAGAACAGGTAGAGAACCAAGCAAAACCCAGCGACAGAACCGAGGACGATGCCCGCGATGGCGCCGGGGGTGAGGGAGGTGTACAGCGCGCCGTAGGAGGCGGGGATCGTGTCGGTGGGAGTTTGTCGTGAGACGAAAAGGAGCAGCGATCGAGCGCGAAGGAGGAGTGAGGACGATGCTTGGGATGGTGATGTTGGCGGTGGTGGTGGTGGTGGTGGTATTGGCGCCATTGCCGCGCTTTCTCTGTACAGCGCTGATGATATTCCGCTCGTTCGGTGGGTGGTATCTGAGTCGTTTGTCGCGACGAACACACGGTCGGTTATGTCGGCCGGCTCGCAAGTCTCCTCAGGTCGCGCGCACAAGTCTTGAAGAAATTGCGGGGGTGGTGTCGCGTCCCAACTGGCAATGTCCTCGTCCGTGAAGCAAGAGCTGATGTATCGTCTGTTTCTTTCAAGCCAAAATCTCGGCGCAACTGGTCGATTTCTCGTATGAGTTCTCGACGCGATTGACAGAAAATGAAAATCAAGGGTCCAGCGTCTACAGCACGCAAGCACCAACGTCAGCCTCGAAGCGCGCGACGTTCTCCAAGCTGATTGGATAATGTAACTCCATGTAAGCTGCCCAGCTTGATGGACTCTGGGATCGCGGTTAGAAAGTTGGCTATATCAGCTTCAATCGTTCTGGTGCCTGACTGACCCCCCTCGACAAACACGTCCAGGAGGATGTTATTTACAGAATTCCCGCTGCCTGTTGGTTTCATGAAGAAATGCGCCAGTCATCTCAAGTCCGAGTGGAACCTCAATTGCGGCGCAGACATCCCCGCCATTAACGGGAGGTTGGGGATTGGTCCACTTCCTGAGCCTTACAGAAATCTTGGCGATGGGATGGAAGGGGTCCCTTGTGGTGATCACTCTTATGAAGATGTCTCTACACTACACAACGCTTGCTTGCCATACCTATATATGCCTTCATCTTACACAAAGCCGCGGATACCTCTAATAGTGCCCATCTTCTTCTCCTTTTCCGGCTTCTCTTCCTTCTTCTCCTTTTTGTCCTTCTTCGTATTTTGGACGCCGCCTGTAAACATGATAAGCATAGGCATGTCGAAACTTACAAGGCAAGGAAATATCAGTTACCTCTCCCGAAGTACCGCTCTATTTGCGGGCTCGTCTTGCCTGATCTTGACGTCTCGTGTCGTCCGGGTGGCGTCGATGGGCGATTAGGGGGAAGTACTGAACCAAGGGAACTCGAAAGCGGCTCTAACGGTGGCGTGGCGTTATGCGACCCTTCAAATCCATCTGAATCTGCGATTACACGAGGAGACCGAAGACGACCCATGGCAGGACTCCCGGAACCTTGGTCGAGCCTACCATCAGCCACCGCCGACGTCGGCGTCGCGATTGGTCTCCCGCTCCGTTCCGTCTGCTCGCACTGCATGTCCAGCAGTGACGCCTTAAGTACTGTGTATTTTCTCGTGAGTGCCCCATACTGTTTTTGGAGATCAGTGTTCTTCGCTCGTGCTGCTGCCAGAGCACCTTCGTACGCCGCCACAATCTCTTTGGACGATGTCTGTTGCTTGATTTGGAGTGCTTTACCCAGTTCAGACTTCAGGCCATCGATTTCGGTCTGATAATGACGTCTTTGCTTCTCCAACTGCTCTTCCCGCGCCGCAAGTTCTTTGGATAGCTGCTCAGCTTTGGCCTCAGCAGCGGCTGCTTCCTGCACGGCTAGCTGCATCTTGACCTCTTTACCGTGGAACAGGTGCTCCGTAGCGGAAAGACGAGAAATTTCCGCCTTGAGCTTCTCAATCATGGCTGTGCTGATATCAACGGCCTCTAGGTTCTGCTCCGACTCCAACCTCTTCTTTTCCGCCTCGTCCACAATCCGCCGCAGACTTGCAATTTCGCCCCGCGCCTTTTCCAGCTGCTGTCTGAGTTCGGCCTCCTCCAAAACCCACTTCTTCTGTTCCTCGCGGAGAACCTTGAGCTTATTAGACAGAGAGTCTTCCCACTTCTTGGACATATTGCGACGGTTGTCGAACTCCTTTTTGTTCTGGGCTTCGCTCCTCTTCGCCTCGTCCAAACGCTGTTTCAAACTACGATTAGCCATTACGAGGTTCTGAGTCTCGGCCTCTGTCGCTGCCTCCCTGACTTGTTTCCGGCGCAGCTCTCCCATGTGCATCATGTGCTGCTGCTTGATGAACCTCTCATACTGAAGGTCATTGAGCAGAAGTAGACGCTCATGATGCAGCATAGCAGCTTGCTCAGCCAAGTCCCCGCTGGTTTGTCCCCCCTGCGGCAATGTGTGCGTGGTTGAGGGCAGGAACGGACTTTTTTCTCCCGCTTGTTCTGCGGGCTCAGTATCAAAGATGGCACGCTGTCGCTGTTGAGAGACTGGTGGAGGCCTGATTTGATGACCTTGTTGGAATGTATCAAATCCTGAAGACGACTGTGGGATGCTGACGGAGCAAGTTGCGGTGGCAATGTCGGGCTATCACCACCGCCTCGACTTCTAGGTTCTGGTGTATTGTATCCAGAAGGTGACGAATGACTTAATTGCGAGCCAGGTCGATCAAGCACCAGCGACGGAAGTGCCATTGACTGGGATAAAGAGTCGACAACCGGGCTACTCAAGAGGGCAAACTCCCGGCTGTCTAGTTCCTGGCCCTCGCTGAGCACGGAGGCCGGCACTCCTGGAAGTGATGTATCAGTTTGGATATTGACGGGCGACGGACCTGGCTCAATTTGCAACGCCGTACAGTCAGCTAGGACTTCGTCGGCTTCGCTCCTGATCCAGCGACTCAAATCCGTCTTTTCTGATTCGATGGTGAGATTGTAAAAGTTGGGATGCAAAAGATGCATCTTTCTGAACCGCTCTGACCTGTCTCGGATTTCCATCGCCTGAACATCGATATCCTCAGGATTGTTGGCATGTCGGAGATACCTTTGAGGCTTCCTGATGTAGTCTAGGAAGTTGATCGGGTACAAGCCATAGAGCAGGCTGAAATAGTTCTTGAGGTAATGTATGGTGCTTCCGTCAAAATCTGGGTCCATTAGAACCTTCTCCCACGGCATCGTGGCCCATGGGCCGTCTTTTCCCTCGCCCATCTCGGTATGCTGTTGTGTAAACAGCGAGTCTCTGTCCCAGAACAGAAGCCTTGCGTAGATGTTGAAGAGTGTTGGGAGATATTGGACAAGAGCGCTGGGTATAAACGGCATGATCATGTTGAGCGAAAGAAGAGCAATCGTAACAGTGTTGGTAGACTCATCGCGCTGTAGCGATTGCAGGATACTCTGGAAGAGAGGTGTTTGTAGAATTTGATGCAGATGTGGTGGCCCGCACGAGACGAAATGTATTAAGAGACTCAGCGTCGCATTGCGATCATCTTTTCTGAGCACGAAGTCGTTCAAGACTGTCATGAAGCCCTTGGGGTCTCGCTTGCCAAAAGCCACCAGAGCATCCTTGATCATCCTCTCTTTGAGTTCGGCTGCTGGACCAAAGCTGGATTCAGACTGAACAATCTCCAGCCAGCGAGCCAGCAGGCGACTAACCAGCGGGAGCATCTGGCCCGAACTCCATGCCTCGGGGTCATCGTGCTCGTCCGTCGAGAGCAAATCAAGGGTATGTTCGAGTACCTCTCGGGCCAGTCCTCTTTCTGAGGCCACATGCTCGAGAACCGGATCCAGAAGCTTGTCCCACCATTTGAATATGCGAGAGGGTGTTCGAAGGACTGGACGCAGCTCTCGTAAAATGACAAGAAAAGCAGCATATCGCTCCGGACGATCCCGCACTATCTTTTCCCAGATAGTGGCCAGTTCATCGTTCAGCTTGTCTCCCGAGGTCTCTTCAGACTTCTCATGTTTATCGAGGTAGCTGGTGATGATAGCATTGACTTCTGAGGGCAACGGCAGACTGGGTGACTGGAGATAGGCCGTGAGGCCTTTGACGAGGTCCTTTGAAGATCTGTGCGGGGGATTAGCAACAGCTCCAGTTTATTCATACTCAGAGTAGCAAGCAAGGCCTACCCGGATGAAGTCATCCTGATCGACACTACGAATGGCGCATCGGGGGACTGGATGAAGTTGGAGAGCCCCGCTCGGGAGCGGAAGCGAGGCGAAGCTCAGGAGAGAAGTGACGTGCGCGGCACCGGGACCTTATGACCGCCTGACAGTGCGCCGTTCCAGAAAGGGCCGGAGGTATGAGGGGTCCAGCGTAGTCCCCGGCAGGCTGCTCGGGGTTTATGGCGTTATGGGGTTATGTGATACAACTGGATGTCTGGACGTACGAGGTCGATGGCGTTGCTCAGATGATTCGTCGTGGAAAAAAGGCTGCCAAGAGCTCGCTGCCCCCGGTTGCGCTAGAGTGATTGGCCCCACCTCGTGACCCGACTCCAGCTTGACTTGCATGGTCAGTGCTGGCTTTCCCTGTTCTTTCAGCGGCAGCACCACTCGAACCCCGCATTTTAAAACGCCAAAGTGGGGCGCATCGGCGGGAACTTAGTGGGCTGCTGCCCGCCGCCGAATCGTCTGATGCATGGTGTGAGAGGAACCAGGCCCCTCTTTGGCGGGGCTGTCTTTGAGAGCTCTCTCGTGACTGATCCAATGCGGCCCTCCAATGACTGTCCCGACAGGCAAGCTCGAGGCACAAAACCCAGACTTCTCCCAGCTTGTTCACCCATTCCTCTGTTTTCTACCCATCTTTTTCATCGCTGATTCCATCAATTGAGTCTCTCCATCTCCGGTTTGGTCTGTACACTCCCAGGCAAACCACCACTTACACCTACACCAAGCACACCACTGGTCTACAACCACCACTCACCCACCACCCCTCCAACCCCAATTCCAACAGTTGCCAAAGATGGCCCACAAGGAGTCCGCAGTGGCAGACGAGCCAATTGATGTGCTCTTTGCCCTGCACGACAAGTTCAACCTCATGGACTTCGCTGGTCCCCTCGAGGTCTTGACCACGGCCTTGCACGATCAATCTGATCCTGGTAAGTCATTGTGTCCTGATTTGAGGCCAGGTTGGCACCACCACCGGCTTCTTTCATACCCCGCGTTTTGGTTCCTTTGACAGCTGGAAGCTTCCCGGCTAACCGGACCCCGACCTACAGCTTCCAAGGCCTTCGAGGTCACCATTGCTGGTGGCAGTCCCACAGTCATCTCCGAGCAGGGAGTCTCCGTCCAAACCCAGATCAACTGGAAGGACGCTAAGGAGCGTCTTAATGACTTCGACGTCCTTGTCGTCATCGGCGGCGGCACCGATGCAGTTTTGAAGAGCAAGGGCGAGCCCCTTGATCTCATCACTGCCTACTCGGAGCTTCAGAAGAGCGATCCCACCCGCGAGCGGACACTCCTGTCTATTTGCACCGGTTCACTCTTCCTTGCCCAGCAGGGCATTCTTGCTGGCCTTTCTGCCACCACTCATCCCGACTATATTACCAAGCTCGAGATCTTGTGCAGCCAAGCTGCCACCCGCGACTTGGGCGAGCGCACCGACGTTGTCGATGACGCCCGCTACGTCGTGAACAACCTTCGGTTCGAACTCGGAGACGAGGACGAGAACCCCTACATCCGTCGAAAGTCGGATGCTGGCAGACGCCCCTCGAATGCCCGGTATGTTCCACTGACATGACTGTCTGACGAGTAGCACATACTGACTCACCATTGCAGAAAGGGATCCATTTCGTTCAAGGGCGCCACACGCAGAGAGTCCATTGCTCGGCGCGCATCCATGCGCCTAGGAGGTCTCCGAGTCATTACGAGTGGGGGAGTGGCCGCTGGCCTGGATGCAACTTTGTATCTGGTCAGCGTTATGGTGACTGAGGAGTCGGCCAACCAGGTCGCCCAGTTCATGCAGTTGACCTGGACCAAGGGTATTGTTGTCGACGGCCTTGATGTGTAAGTTTAGTAGTGTGATATTAGCGATATGGGTATTTGGGCAAGGGATCTGGCGTTTTTGATGAGATAACGAATGAAATGAAAACAATATTCACCTCTTCTAAGAATTGGAACCGCTCTCTATCCTGTGAAACGCCCAATGAAGTAATTGAGTACGTAACGTGTCCCTGACAGCTCAAGAGCTTGGTGTTGTGGTAACGCTGTCGTTGAGAGATCGATGACAGGTGTGGGGTAATGCCCGTAGACACTCTTGGCATTACTATGGACCCACCTGCGAGTTGAGGTCCTGGTCACTCAACCCTGGTCGAAATCGCCTGGATTGGCAGCTGGCAGCGGGCCGTCAACAGCGTCTTTCAATCGCTGGAAAATCTAACTGGAGCCATCATCACGATACCAGATCCCGACAGCGAGTTGCCATTTCAGGACGGCGGTAGACCCAGCGCAAAGCTACCCGTCACTTCTCACCCACCATGTCGTCAATGAACTCATTACCGCGGATCGCGGAGCCTGTACAGCGGTGGAAGAGGTTCGGTGAGAAGCAATTGTTTCTGTAAGCAACCAGCCCACCTTTTCTTCTCGAGGACATCTCGGAGCTAACCTGCTCTCTTACTCTCCCCGCCCAGACCAAACCACGTAGTCGCCCTCCTCCGCCCCAAGCCCAAACAGTCCCCCCACCTCGCCACCTTTGCCGTCCCCCTGCAGTTCAACAAGCTCGATCTTCGGGACTATCTTCACCATGCTTACGGCGTCGAGACGACGGCTATCCGCTCGTTCATCAACCAGCCCAAACCCGAGAGGAAGAACAAGACTGGGCCTTGGTATCGGCCCAGGGCGCAGAAGATGATGATTGCCGAGCTGGTCAAGCCGTTTGTGTGGCCGGAGCCGGTGAAGGATGAGGAGGCTCTCAAGCCGTGGGATCATGCGATGTACCAGAAGCTGCAGAAGGATAGGAGGGCGCAGGAGAAGAAGCAGAAGGACCCGAAGAAGGTGCCGTTGAGGAACAAGTTTGCGGTGCCGGATGATGTGAAGAGTGTGAGTCAGCAGGCGAGGGAGTTGTTGAGGAAGGCGAAAGGGTTGAAGGTCAAGGAGAAGGGGTTGAAGGTGGAGGGGAAGGAGGAGGGGGAAAAGGGGGAGGTGAAGGATGAATAAGGGGGGTTGGACTTGTTCAGGCGTAAATGGGATGTGCTTGGGGCGAGGTAAATACGCGGAAGTGCAGTTCTGAGAAAGAATGGTCAGGCTGAAGTGGTCGGCTTAGTTCGGCTGTCACTGCTGCTTGGATAAGGGGGCTCAAACGCTAGAAATGAGCAGAGCCAAGGAGAGATACTTGGCAAGTGTATTATATGCTCATGGACGCAAATACATGTACAATCATGACCAATGCTGGATTCTCCCGCTCTACATCAACCTGGTTGAACAATTTGACTTAGGTTTCCTGCTATATCTTCTTCCAATCGTGCAGAACCCGCCGTCTTTTCCTCTCTGTTTTCTTGCAGATCACCCTCCGTGCCCAACAACCTCTTCTCCTTCTACCACTTCTTCCTGAGCCCAATACTCTCCCCCCTGAAACTTCATTACCTCATCCATCCACCCCCACCAACCCGCCGTCAAGTTCCGTGCAAACATCTCCAACGCTGTATACCCCCTAGGTAACACCTCCTCAAACACCCTCTTTAAATTCGGCTTGCGAGAGTGAATATCGGGCACAGAGACAATAACCTTATTCTTCACACCACCAGCCCCTGCACAAGCCCCTTTTTTCCTCGCAATCAACAACCGCTCATAAGGCTTCCGCCATTGACTCCCCAGACTGACAATCGGCTCCCCACGAGACGTGACTTTGACCCAGGTCCATTCTGCCACTAGCTCAATACCCCAGTTGTAGGGGAAAATGTCGTTGAGGAGGAGGGTGGTGAAGCGGGGGGAGTTGGTGACCCATACTGCTACGAGTCCGTCAGGGGAGAGGAGGGTGGTTATTTGGAAGGAGGACAGGAGGGAGTGGGTGGAGGAGAGAGAGGGGAGGGGGGTGTAGGCGGCGGGGCTGGAGCGTTTGCGTTTTGCGGAGCGGTTGGGCCAGGGGGGGGGGAGGAGGATGAGGGAGAAGGTTTGGGAGAGGGGGGGGGGGGGGCCGGTGAGTGGGTGGGCGGTTGGGCCCCCCGTAAGGAGAGTCTGGGTTATCGACTTGGTTGGTGGGGATTATACTGTGATCTTCGGTTGCTTTGGGAGGGGGATTTGGTTCTGTGGGTGTTGATGTGCTCTTGGGCGGCGCTGCTGTTTCTTCCGGTTGCGTGGCTATCTGCTTTGACTCAACCGGGGCTGGTGGCTTTGAAGTGAGGCGTGGTAGACACCAGGGCCCTTGATAGGATGTGCTTATCTCATCGAGTGCTGACTTAACGGATGCCATGGTCATGAGCTCGGCTATCTGAGCTGCGGGTGAGATGGCTGGTTGAGCATAATCACTGGACTTCGGCTCCGGAGTTACGAAGGGTTGTTCTGGTGCCGGCGAACAAATCAACCTCCGGAATGGTGCAGTTGTGTCTGGTGGCTCATGGCCAGGTAGCATCTGTTTATCGGAAAGATACTGGGCTTCTTCAATCGACCGGGGGAGGTCGAGTAGGACCACCGTTTTGGCCTCGTTCTGCCAGAGAATGCTGGATTCAGGCATGGTTTCGATAGTGTTCAATCCATCCCATACATGGACATTATTCTCAAGGCAGGCTATTCAATGGCTCAGGTATTTTGATTGGTCCTTAACATCTAGTCAGTGATTTGCAATGAGACTATGGAATTTGTAACAATTCATTCCGCTTACAAGGTCTTATATAGACTATTCACGCATCAACTGCCATGGTAGCACTTATCTTCGCAGTATATGATGCCCTCGTGACCAACTCGTGACCGTGAATGTGGATATATCGATAACAACCTTGTCAGCGTCGTCAAAAGAGGGTACCATGTGGGCTTCTAGAAATCCCAGAATGGCATAGTGTCAAACCTGATTTACTTGGGCGGCCGCTGGTTGGCCCGTTCTCAGGCACTGGGCCCCTAGTTCAGGCGGGTTGGTCAGGTGGGAGGATTCGGCAATCCTCGGCTATGCGGGGTGGCACTGGAGGGCTTGCGGTTCTAAAGCTTAAAGAGTCTGCGGAGAAGACGGAAATGACGTTTGGCTGTTGCATTCCCGGCTTTCGAGAGCGTTTTCTTTGCTCCATCTTCTGAATCGCATTCACAGCAAAACATTACGTACTTGACGATAGACCTATAACTCACTTCCAACTCGTATCTGGACCGTCGCCGAATATATACCTTTTCTCGACGACCACAGAATACAACAGAAAGACATTTTAACTCGCAATGCGCCAGTAACGCAGAGCGTCCGTCCCAATATTCCCCTCCCCGAATCTACCTGTCGCGATATTCCGCTACACCAGTCCGCTGAAGCGGGCAACCCCCGGGCCCTCATGAGCCATGCCTCCATGCCGGGGGTCTCGTCGCCTCAAATAGGGCGAGACACTACCCGTGCAGCCCGGCCAAATGCTACAGCACTGCCGGCTAAGGATCCAGCAGTATGCCCTACAGACGACGAGGCCCAGGTGCCGAGGAAGCCTCCTAAGAACAAGCGGAGCTTGGATTATGTCTGGCGATCTGGAGTCGCAGGTGGTCTGGCAGGATGCGCGGTAGGTTCTTGCCTCGGACTCAGGTACGAACATTGTACGGTTGACTAACATAACCATAGGCCAAGACTGTTGTTGCGCCGCTCGACCGAGTGAAGATTCTTTTCCAGTCTCATAACCCACACTTCATCAAATACACGGGATCATGGCTTGGTGTGTCGGAGGCCATGAAGGCCATCTACCAGCAGGACGGACCAACAGGCCTTTTTAGAGGCCACTCAGCGACACTTTTGAGAATTTTCCCCTACGCAGCCATCAAGTTCCTGGCCTACGAACAAATACGAGCTATTGTCATTCCGAACAAGGAGCACGAAACGCCATTCCGACGACTTATCAGCGGGTCTTTGGCAGGTGTCACCTCAGTTTTCTTCACATATCCACTAGAAGTTATTCGAGTACGGCTGGCTTTCGAGACGAAGAAGGACAGCAGATCATCACTACGCTCAATATGCAAGCAGATATATGGTGAACAACAAAAACCGCGCACTGTGGCTGGCCCTCTCGGCGAGCCTCTGCCAGTTGCGCCTGCTAGGCATGGGCTGACCAACTTTTACCGTGGATTCTCCCCAACGCTCCTGGGCATGCTGCCCTACGCTGGCATGTCTTTCCTGACACACGACACGGCCGGCGACCTTCTTCGTCACCCAGAAATTGCGAAGTGGACTACACTGCCACAACCTGAGAATGCGCCCGCCGGGAAAGCAGCGCCTTTGCGGTCTTGGGCTGAGCTATTCGCGGGTGGCGTGGCCGGTCTGGTTTCTCAAACGGCGTCCTACCCGTTGGAAGTTATTAGGCGGCGGATGCAAGTTGGTGGAGCGGTCGGCGATGGCCACAGAATGCGCATCGGCGAGACAGCTGGGATAATTATGAGAGAGCGCGGACTGAGAGGTTTCTTTGTGGGCTTGACCATTGGTTACGCCAAGGTGGTCCCCTTGGTGGCGGCGAGTTTCTACACGTACGAAAGACTAAAGACATGGTTCGGCATTTAGAATTTCTTGGGGTTCCTCTGGTTCTTGTTTTGTTTGCAAGCAAGCACAAGATAGGCGTTTGGGGTTGGCAGGCAGATTTCTTTTGTATATACAAAATCTTGGGTTTGAGGGGTTGTCTTTTTCGGGGTGGGCCGGCTCGAGCTGGTTTGAGATACTTGGTCGAGGCTAAACAGGAAGTTCATTTGGTTACTAGCATCATAGTGGACCGTCGTTGGGGCGGGTAGAAGCAATATGAATGTATCATGGCTATCTTGATCTGCTACCTTTCAAAATTGAGCTCTTGGATCCAGCTTGACGCTTACCATGGCCGGCGACGAGCCATCTCCTGACAACGGGGTTTAGGGTCTCGATGGTGTAGTACGAACTACCGATGGACATCGACGGCGTGACATGGCACCGAGGCAGAATCATGTCACTTTCAGCAGTAGGTGGAATACCCGCGAGGAAACCATATCAACCGGCACACCTGCGTGACTCGACATTCGCGGGATTAAATCACTCCGTGACGGCGTTCCAGAAAAATATAACATTCAAACCATCATCTTCTTCAACTATCACCGCTCATCAAGCAATAGCTTATCCGTCTCGATCTCTACCCCTTCAGTCACCACTCACCAACATTGCCCACCATGGCCTCCACCCAGAACCAAAACCAAGGACAAGACCGCCCCATCATCAAGGCCCATTCCGCTCCCGAGAACCACAACCAACACGTCAAAGACCCCCTCGCCCACTTCAATGCCATCCCCCCCCTCGCCAAAATGCTCTCCGATCCCGCCCTCCTCAGCACCCAAGTCGTCGACCGCCGCCCCTTGCCCTCGGGTGAGAGCAACTTTGTTCGCAAGGTGATGAACTCTGGCACCACCGTCAAGGCGTGCGTGACATTCTTCCGGATGCTGCAGCCCCCTGCTTCAATGGTCAAGAAAGCTCAGGCTGCCGGGGCAAAGGGGGAGTTGATCCCCATGGAGGAGATCACCAAATCCAAAGCGATGCTGCAGGGGGGTGGGGCGCAGGACGGGGAGGATATGAAGAACCCGTTTTTGCTGTTTAGTGCGCTGGTGGATTTAGGGGAGGATCTTTGTGGTTATGCGGGGACGATGCATGGGGGCTTGTTTGCGGTGCTGATGGACGAGGTTATGGGGACGGCGGCCAATTTTCAGAGTGGTAAGTTTTTTGAGTTTTTTTCCCCTTTTGCTATATCATTCCAGCTGCTCCGCGGTTGAGGGAGGGGTTGGGATTCTTGGGGCAGGATGCTGACGGGACTATGTTGACAGAGCACGGCGCCTATACTGTCCAGTTCAACACCAACCTTCAGAAGGCGATCAAGTTGCCCATGGTGGTTGTTATCAGGGGGAGGGTGGTCAAGAAGGCTGGACGGAAGATCATGGTTAGGGGGTGTATTGAGGATCAGAATGGTTAGTTGTTGAGATTGGTTGCTGTATCCCTATGTGATCATGGAGTATGACTAACGCAATATTGAACAGGCAATATCATGGCTGAGGGCGATGGTCTCTGGATCCAGATGGATAAGAACGTGGGCAGGAGTCAGTTGTAGATGTTGCTCTTGGCAAGTTGTTTGTAGGCAATAGAGGAGGAAGGTGATATAATAATCTGAAACTTAACCCGGACTTTCTCCTCGAGAAGACCAATAGTTGGAAGCTCTTTCCAACGGCCAATGATGACGTGAAGTGAGAATGGCAAACCTGAGAGACCGGAGCTGGAAGGCGTATCTCACCATTGGAGTTCAAACTTTTTTTCTTGTTTTTTATTTTTTTCTTTTTTTTACACGAGAGGGGGGCAGACTTTCAGAACTCAACCAACCAAACATTTCTAACATCAACTCACCTCTTCTGCATGCACTTGCTTGAACATTATTTCGTTCTTGATCGTCACTTTACCCACAAACACTGTAGGTTATCATTTCATGGCTCTAGATGGCATAACAAAACAAACGGACTAACCAACCAATCAATCGTGCTATAGGAAGTCCAGGAGAAAATTACCAGAATGTCCAAACCCGACTTATTACCCCTACGCCAAAGGAGGGAAGAACCTTTCAACGCCGCCCGTCGCCGGAACTTCTAGAGCAGCCGCTTTTACATGATAACCGAGGACGCCTTCGCGAAGATGGTGAAGGACATGCAGTCATCTTCGACTCACATCGATTTGGCTGCCCTCTTTTGCCTGGGTCGCGTGTCACGGGATTTCCGATACACGGTTCTCAATGTTCTAGACATTGGCGGTTTTGACGCCTCGTGGTTGGAGGGAGTTCAAATGGTGCAAGAGAATACCGCAACGTAATACACAACGAAGAGAATGATACGGATTTTGCTACTGAAAGGTAGGTTCTTTGCCAAGAAATACCCGAACATGCAGGCCTTGGGCGGAGGGGAGGTTTTGAGACAAGGAAGAGCTTTGGGAGAGGGGGAGGCAAAACATGATGTGGGCTCCGTCCTTTCAGAAGCGGGCTCCCTCCTTTCAGCAGTGGGCTCCCTCCTTTTCGAAATGGGCTCTCTCCTTTTAGAGGCGGGCGCCCACCTTTTAGCCTTGTTTTACATTTTGCCTTTTCTTTGTTTTTTCCTACCTTTTACTCAAAGAGGAGAGAGGGAGGCACAACATGAGCTTGAACAAGAAGGGGGAGAGAGGGAGGCAGGGGATCGTGGAAAGTAAGAGTGTCATCCTACCTTGACCTCAACATCGGCTCAATGTGCCCGGAGCCAGGCCTGCCCCTGCACGACACTGTGCAGGGTGCAGAGCGATATATGTATTTCTGATCAGCGAGAAAGGACATCAATTCCAAGTTTGCTTAGTTATGATACACTCACCTCGTAAGATAAGCATTAAGCCCTAGAAAATAGTTAACAGGCCTTTAAAGAGGATTGGCAGGTGTTAAAGATAGCCAAAAAGCATTGAAAGATGTTTAAAAGGTCTACTGACTTTCATTTAAAGTATGTTTTACGATATAATAAGTATTGACTTATGTTGTGTGGTCCGTTGGCATGGGTTCAATCACCAGGCAATATATGTGACGAACCCCTGTACAGAACCTCTGAAAGGGATACGGGTTGAAGGTAACTTCTGATAATTAGTTTGGTGTAGTTAAATAGTGCATAATAAGATATCTTAATGTAAACATAAGATACCGTGAATATAATTGTGAATTATATACTGCGGAACTATCTATCTATATTAGCTAGTTCCTCCGTATATATAGATTTATTTATTACTATTATTATTAATAATAATATCGATTATTATTCGTCGTTTATTAAAGGCTAATAATAATCGTGATTATTACTTTTAGCGCTAATAATAATCTGACTTCCCTACTTTTTTGTTTTTAATAGTTAGACGGGTCGCGCCCCGCGTTCCCTACTTATATTAGGTCCGTAATATAATGCCCTTCCTTTAGGCTAACGTCCCGTTAATTTAATTATCGATTATATATATTCTTTTCGTTTCCTTTTTCTTTTTCGTAAGTCTTTCACTCTTATCCTTTAATAGCCTAATTAACGCTATATTTATAATAAAACCTTTATTATTGTTTATATAGTACTGTACTAAATTTATTTAAAATATTATTAAAAATAGTTTCTTCGTTATACTTTATTTATAATATAACTTATAAGGATTAATTTACTATATAATAAATAAAGTAAAACGTTATAAAGCTTACGTATATTATAGTCGTTTATATAATAGTTCCGGTATCCCTATTTTATTACGTAAATCTCTTATTACTTTTTTTTTCTTTATTAATCTTCTTTAATAAATAAAATTATGCGAGAGTAACGTTATTTATAGGAGGAAGAGAAACGTACCGAGACTTTTCTAATCGAGTATTAATAAAAAACTTTTAAAGCTTTAGTTCGTTTATCGTAAGTCCGTCACTAACGCGAATTTCTTATAAATAAGAGAGCCGTTATAGTTGCTCGTAGCCTCTTCTCTCTCGATAAGTTAAAAGCTGCCGAACGTACCGAATAGGAGGGAGTTACGCGGGCCGCGTAGGCCATCCCGTCGTCTAACGACGCTCCTCCTTCTAATCCTACTCCTCCGGGTCCTTCCGACTTCTCTTTTTTAGATCCTTCCTTAGGCTTCGACTAGCTACCTAACCTTTCTTTGGATCCGGGTACGGCTAATCCTTCTTTCCTAATTCCGCTAGGTGCCGTTAAAGGTACGCCTTCCACTTCCTAAAGTAATTAAAACGCGTGACCCTACTTATATTTAGGTCCCCTTATACCTTTTATCTTTATAGTGTAATGAGTAGTATGTCGACTATTACGTTAAAGGTATAGGTTCGATTTTTATTAAGGTTCTTCGGTATTAAGGTTTATATTTATAAACCTCGGTATTAATCTTTTTATTTATTTAGGTAGTTAAAATATATTTATAATTTCTACGAATTATTTATAATCGGGTATTTTAATTAATTAACTAAATACTTTAATTAACCTTTATTAAACTATAAATCTAGTATTTCTTTTATATTATATTCCTTTTGTTAATGTGTGGGTACTACTAAGTGCCCTACTTACTGCTTTATAGATTAATATTATAGTGGGCAGTACTGCTATAAATAGTAATGGAACTTCCCGGCTTGGATCTCTTTAGTATATTCTTTATAAGAGACCCTTAAAGGCTTATAGGGCTACTGTGGCTTAAGGCTTAATTAATGGATACTAAAACCTTTTAAAGTGGCTATAGGCTTACGTAGTAAGTTGCTACAATAGTGTAATTTATAGGGCACCTCTGCTACCGAAGGTTCTATAGATTTCCGTAAGTCTATACTAGACCCACCTAAGCCCACTAAATACCCTAAAGTAATATAGGGGCTTCCAGGGCCTACAGGACCCACAGTAGGCTTACGAAGGCCTATATATAGACCTCTCCTCTCTCCTGTAGAATAGTTCCTTTCTTTCTTTCTTTAAGGGGCAAAAGCTTAAGGCTAAGGCCAAAGGTAATAAAGGCAATTCTTATTCCTTATACCTCACTATATTACA